TATATATAAATATTATTATAGAATGAGATTAGATTAGACTTGCGTTTTAGCTAATTATAATGTATTTCAGTTTATGATTTATTTGTTGATGCTTGGACGCTTATGAAGTAACATGAAGTAATCAATTTAACTCGATTAAGTGATAATTTATTCAAAACTTCAATAGATTACAAGCAAACCTCTCGGAAATTGTAAGGTATGAAATATTCAAATTATTTTACCTAAGCATTCATGATTGACTGAAAGCTTCTGAAATAGCTCGACATTGTTGTGTTTATACTGATTCTGGTTGGACAAGCTAAATGAGAAAATCAATAATCACTGAAATCCTTTTTGAGGAAAAATCATTTACGCCTTCGCGGTGAGACGTCAAAATAAATTTTCAAGCTAATTTACCTTCACGCTTAATGAAGAATAATTTGATCTCGATCAAAAGCACCATTATTTTCTCGCTTTCTCATCTGATACTTCACAATCGAATATTTTTTTCTCGCTTGGTGTGAAAACTAATTAACTCCAATGCATTATTTCCGGTCGGATTTTCTACCCTCCCCGGTGATTCGCCGCTCACTCTTTTCATTTATATTAGGTTCATGAATCACGGGCGAAAAAGGGCGAAATAGCTCGTTCAAATTTTATTATGGAATGAGAAAGAAAGCCCAGCTCAACCCTTCACTCGAGCGGAACAATCGAAAAAGTTTCACTCCACTCCGCTAGCGCACTTTTCCCATTGTGTCTGACAAGAAAGATCGAAAAGAAAAAGAAAATTAAAAGATAAAAGATTTTATTGTCTTGAAATGAGCTTTAATACAAAAGTTTATTAGCCATAAGTCCCTTGTATGTTGTCTATTATTGTGCTCGTAAATAAATGCCAAATTAATCCAAATGAGTTGATGGCTAAAGACCAAAGATACTTTTTCAAATCTTCAACTAACATATGTAATACGATGTTGTGTTTCGAATGTTTCTAATTATTCTATATTATTTCTTCTCTTTTGAAGACAACGTTCTCATACTGAATATAAAACTTCAAGTTCTTTTGTTATAATTCACAAGATTTCAAATTTTATCCTGAAACTCTTTTTTATGGTTCTCGATTTTTTAGTTATCAGGAAATACAACGGAACGTTGTTTGTGAAAAAGCGACTAAATAAAATTTCAGTTATAACTAAATCCATAAGAATTTGATTGTATATTGAGATATCATAGTTTCCTTTTTGATAGTCGTTTTTAGTTTTGAATTGCTGAGGTTGATTGAATTTTGTTCATGTTAAAGTTTAAAAGAAATGTTGCATAATTTCGCAAATGTATAACAAACCTGATTGATCGAAAAAAGAAACATAATCTTCAAAGACAAAAAGTGAAGATTGTTATTAAATAATTTAACAACATCCATTTAGACTTTTAAATCTTCATCTCTTTATGCTCTTCTAAGCTTGTTATCTGCATAGTGTTCAAAACATCAAACGATATTCTTTACTTCCTTTCATAGCTTCATGTAAGCTTTATTTATTGTATTTTACTTTAAGAAGAGTTTGAAATCTACGAGAATTCATCGTATAAGTATTCAGATTCAATTCCAAGCTATGGATTAAGTCTTTTTCGGTAGAAACGAGACATTGAAAATTCCAATATTGATTATTGATTTTGTATGTACGATTGACAGATTTGATTTCAATTTCACTAAGTTTATTAACATTCTCATATAAATCAAAGTTTGACTGTGTAACTAATATTATTAACTAGATAGCGAAAAAATCTTGGGGAAAATTTTCGACATTTATTACTTTTAAACATTCTAAAAAAATTCAACTCATTTCAAACACACAGAGATACTCATTTAATCACGACAAGATTTTTCTTTCCTTTTGAATGTTGTATGCTAAAATACGACAAAAAAGAAAGCAAACTTGGCACAGATATGATTAACGACTTGAATTTTTAGTAGCATGAAATACTTTTTCTTCCTATCCTTTTTTTGTAATAAATGCCATCAAAAAAAAAGCTTAAATCGATAATTTTCTTTCTCTTCTTTTCCATTTATCATTTGTACGCTCAAGAAGTCAGTTTCACAGTAAATTTTCTCTCAAATTATTTGAAAGCTGACGTATTTTCATTAGCGACTTTAATTATTCATGATCATGTAAAACATAAGACACAGTTGAGTCAACGAGAAAAAAAAAAATTCTAACATTTTCGAAGGGATTCATTCTGTTTAGAATTTAATGGAAGCGTAATTCCTAACAAGAAAACTAACCAAATAGCAAAAATAACATTAATCTCAATATAAAAATGCAATAATATGCTTCTGTTACTTTGGTAAACCATATATTTTAATTTTAATATTTGTTATGGTGGATAGAAGTTAATGTTGAATCATCAACATAGGTTAGACGTTTTATTTTTTAACGACGATAAAAAGAAGCAACAGAATATTATGATGCTTCGCACATGTATGATTTAATTATGCTGATTAATTATTCTGAAAGTACTTTTTTATGAGTTTACACGAAACTGAAGGAAATGTATTATTGAAGAAGAGTATTTAGGATAACGAAGAGTTTATTTCTTTTTCCTCATCAATTTATTATGAAACATAAAAAAAAGCAGAACAGGATGACATCACGTTGAAAAAGCTTGCAAAGGTGTTTATGCTGTTTTATGACACATTCCTTTCATGAATTAAATCAAATCTCTTTCGAAATTAATGTTATGTATTCATGTCACGACAAAGTTAGAAAACCTTTTGAAGGAAGACCTTGAAACTTTATAATGGAATATTTGCTCATAAAATCATATTTGTGACTGTTATTCAGCGATTTCCTTTCGCAAAATATATTTACCTGAAATTTCAATGAAACATGGATGGTTAAGTCAGAAGACGATGGTAAAGGAAGGAACGAGAAGTTTGTTGTTAGCAAGTCGTTTGTCAAACTAAAATGATGAATGAGAATCAATAAGAGCAACATCAATATTGTTTTCAAAACATATCCGGAATGTGTGCATGAGGCAAATAATCGACTTCTAAAAGAATCAACCAAAGCACATTATTATTACATATTATGTGTTTATTTATGCGCTAATATCGTTTCTTTTTTTTCTCTCCCTCTTTCTCTCTTTTCTTTTCCTAAATCTTCATGCATAAATAGATTCACATAAAATTGTGCTTCAACAAAGATAATAAAACAACAGACCAAAGCTCATGTTCAAGTAGGAAAGTGAACGTCGATGAAGAGAGAATAAATAACTTTCACAACAGCATTTAAAGGAGAGAAATGAAAATGGATAAATGTAATCTACATTTCAACAGAATATTCGTCTACCTATTACTTATAATGTATCAGATAAACTTATCAGTATGCTGGAAATTGGATAATTATAATATTTTGTACGCAAATCAAGATATTTTATACAATTGCCCTTTAAATTCGATGTGTCGCTGTTTTCCCAACGATACAAAGTTGCTGGAAATCAACTGTAACGAAGTGACTTTGTATAAATTTCCAGGTGAGTTAAGACAATTTTTCATACTTCTTTTACTTATTGTTAATTCATTGTGAGATTAATTGTAGTAAATTATTTTTTATTACCTTTCAACTGTTGATGATATCTTTAATTAAAAGCAACAGATTTTACGTTTTTCATATTTAGATATTTGAAAGGAAAACAAGTTAATAAAATATTTATTACGATTTAGAATTCTTTATTCAAATATCTTTCTTTCTTTTGACATTTTTTAGAAATATGCTTGGTAAACAACATGTATTTGAGATTTTCTGATTTGAATATTCTGACAAAATTCCTTTGTTGTCTTTATATTCTATCGACAATTTAAGGATCATAGAAGAAAGACCTTCACTCCCTTAAGATATTTGTTTATGTTCTGATATGTTTTATGCTGAGTTGATAAAACCTATAAATAAACCAGACATCAGCATAGAATGGAATTCCAAAAATTTCCCTAAATAATCACCAAGAAACTAGAGATCATGATCTCTGAATATATTAAGTTTGAATTACTTTCCTTTCTCATCAATCTAAGAGTTTATTTTGTTGCAAATGAAATAATTTTCATGATTCTCAATTTTATGTACGTTTTACATATTTGAAATCATTCGTGAGTAATTGTCAAAAAGCAAGTCTACTTTCAGAAAGATAACAGATTGCACGAACCATTTGTATCATAAATAATTCAAGCAGGAAAATTAAAGACAAACTTCATAGTTACGCATAATTTGTTTGCCATCTCGAGGCAAGTATTTTGGGCAAGGAAAAGGAAAACTTTTGGATAAACTCAATGAACCTTTTTTTCTCTCTCTCTCTCTCAGAGGAAAGTTTCTTTTTCCAAAAAATTGCTTTTTAGCACACAATCTACCTAAGAAAGCTGTATGTTGAAGAAAAGAGAATGTAAGGCGAAAATAAAATTTATGGAATTTCCCTTTCCCCCATTTAAACTACTTTGAAGAATAAAACAAGGCAAGGCGACTCTTCTTTTTTTCTTTTTTGGCACGAGTAAAAATAATTTATGAGACTTTGGATGCTTACTTACTTACTGACTTACTTACTCAAACAAAAAGTATTCTAAAACTTTGTCTTAATAATCTACCTGTCTTTTCCAATTTCAAAATCCGCCAGCATTTCCCTTAAACCAACCCTTCTGCCGACATCTGAAATTCTTATTTTGATTTTTGCGCAACCCAAAGTGATGGAAGAAAATTTCTTGCGAATATTTTTCTTTTTCGTTGAGATTGGAAAATTCCTGAGGGCCGTTGGTAGATTATCAAGGAAGCGTTGTTTTAGTTACATATTTTTTATAATCTGTAAAATTCCAATTCAATGACTCTTGACAATCTACAATTGGTTCTTTGCATTCTTCATGCTACTGTTACCTTGTTTTTATTCTAAATGATCAATTAGTTTGCAATTTGAGACCTGTTGAGCAGTTAAGCATACAATTTGAATTTAAATTATTCAACAACTTTCGATTCTATCGTAGCATGGGGAAAGTTCATTCGAACGATGACAAGACAGGAAAAAAAATAAGCTGGCTGACAATCTGTTGTTAACATTTACGTCTATTTCATTTTTATTCTATCGATTTTTTCTGGTTTCCTAGAGCGTATGACATGTTTTTACAAAATAAACATCAGCATTGAATATTCACACTCAGATCATACAAATTAGGATAGATTGAACAAACACCCATTTGAGAATGTAACTTTTATTCGCCTTTTTGTTGAATAAGTTACAATAGTCATGTCACACATGCCTTGTTAAAAATTTGTCAAACGAAAGGGCTTCATGATTTGAAAAACTGGAAATGAGTCAAACTTTCATTGTTATGTTAGAGCATTGAAAAGAAGAGTCTTAAGTGTACACAAAAGACACACGGATGTAAATGTAAACTGACCTTTTTTCGCCTCAATTTTCTTCCACTCTCATCTTTTCTTTTCATTTTTATCCGAGCTAGTAAAAAAGAAGGAAAGAGAAAGAAGGAAAAAAACTTTTTGACGTGCAAGCTCGTAAGCGACATTATACATTCTTTTATATTTCTTGTCGTCCCAAATTCTAGGCAAACAAATAATAGTTTTATGTGTAGAAGAACCTTTTTCACTCCTTACAACCAACTCTAGCTCCTTGACTTTTTCTCTCATTTCATGACGTCGTTGCTGTAACCATTTTCAAACACATCTGAATACACAAGTATTTTCTCTCGTCCCACTTCGCTTATTGTTGTTTGCTGATAAAACTTGATGCTGACATTGATTTTTTTTTCTCTATTTCCTCTTTTTTCCCTCAAACCGACCGGCTTCTCGTTGTACAAAAAGCTGAAATCTTTATGTTTATTTTTATTTACTTCACATCTCTTCACAGTGGCTGCACGAGGAATTTCCTCTCTGAATTCTTTCCCAGGCTTGGGAATTTAAATCAATAAAAAGTTTGGATAAAACGATATGTTTATTGCGAGAAAAATACTTGAGTTTCATGAAATATTGATTGGAGAATGATGCCCGAAAGGCACATCAAGTAACCTCAAACGAAAAGACCAAATGGTGCGATTATTGTGGTGATTCTTCCAAAACAACAACAACATTTGTTGCATTCAATAAAATAAAAACGTTATTGTCGACATCGAGTGCTCTTCCATGTTCATGCTTTTATTTACATTAATTTTTTCCCACATCGTATAATGTTAACTTATGTCGATGTGATGAACAAAGTTCCTTAACTATTCAATTTCAATATCATTCAATTTATTTTTAAACCTATAAAACCATTTAACATAATAGAAAAACAAATTCTTTCTTTTTTTTAGGATCAAACCAATTCCATTAAAGAAATAATGTAAATTCATTCACAATAATAGGTAACTTCATAGAAGCTCTAAACTTATTAACACTCATTCATGATGTATTCTCATAAGATCAATTAGCTAATTTTATGATATTGTAACAATGCTTATTGAAACTAGTGTCTATTCATGTCACCTATTTAGACTGACATTGCCTCATGTCGCTTGATGTTTATTTTTTCTATAAATTCAAATTAATAGCAATCAAAATATCTTTCATAAATTATGTATTGATGGCTTTAGTGGTCAAAGCAATTTTGAACAATTTGTCATAAATAATCAATATCGAATTGGTAAGAGCGCTTATTGAATTTGTTTCGTCAACTCCGGGGTATTAGTTTGGATATTAGTTGACAGATTTCTTTTTAATTGCCAATTTATCGATTTCTAATTTAATAATTCTACTAGTGTGTTGAGCAATAAGCTGGAGTAAGTTTTTTGATGTGTGCGTTCAACTCAAGAAATTAATCTAAAATCTATGGGATTTTCCTGAGCTTGGGGACTGACCATGAATGATGTATTTATGAGGAAAGGCAAAACATGCAAACATTAACAATCTCCATGGGTGCAATAAAAGCTCCGATGCAAATCGCCACAAGGCGTTAACTTTTGTGTTGCCAAGCAATGTTCATTCCATTCGCTTACCTTTAGAATTTATTAATTTTTCATGAAATATTCAGTTTTCAACACAAAAGTTCATTTCCACTTCTATTTACTAAAATATCTTTCGATTCATAAAAGAAAGTATTTCGAGCCTTTTTTACCATCAAGAGGATCGCGTGTTTACATTACTAACTCATTGTTTATTCTCGCTTTTCAGAGTCCTTTCCTCGAAAGTGGAATGTACAAAAAACATTCAAAAATTATTCTTGTACATTTCTTCTCTAAAAAAGGAGAGCTGAATAAAATTATTATTTACAATAAATAGGTACATTGCAATGTCATTTTTCAGTAAAATAATAATAAAAATTAATGAAAGATTTTTTTTGTCATTCCACTAGGAAAATTGAGAAAGTTTAATTTATAAATTGTTTTATGCTCCTGGCTTTCTTTAGAATTCTTCTGGCATTTCTTTATTTATTTATTTTCCGAGATTCTATGAAATTGTTGGGTATTCTATCTTGAAAAAATTATTTTTACAGATGAAATAATGAACAAGTTATTTGATTTCATTTATTTATTAAGTATACAAGTTATTTATTTTTAATTTTTTAATTCAGTTATAAAGCAAGATCGTAATTATTTTCAGAAAGTATTGAATTATATATATCTTTTTCTACTATTCACAGAGTTTTTACATGGTACGATTAGACATATTGAAATGTCTCATACGCTAATACAGAATGTAGATGATGAAACATTTCAAGGACTGCGTTTAGAGTCGCTCAAATTAGTTAATAACAAATTGATAGAATTTTCTGAGAAAAGTTTTAGGTGAGTAATGTTTATGAATTATTAGTTAAAACTAACTTTAAGCTCTTTCAAACATAATGTTAAGCCATCCCTAGTCAAATAGGATTAAATTTAGTTTGTTTTACTTCTCTTAGTTTAAGTCAACCGTTAAAGACTAGCTTTTAGTTTTCAACAACTTGTTAATCATACAATCCTGAAGACCCACATACAGCTTTCCAAATGAGATTATTTATATAGAGAATTGAACATTCAAAGATTTTAAGCTTCGAAGAACAAAATCAGGATTAAGCAAAGAAAGAAAAAGAAGTGAAATAAATTTAATTATGAAAGTGTAGAAATCTGCTTTGAAAATTTTCGGATTTCCAACTTAAACGCATTGTAAGATTAGTGTGGTTTATTTAATTAAATTGAATAAGCCAAGATTTACCTTTGGGGGAAGTTTATATTGTCTGAGCAAGGAAATTTCTCATTAAAAATCCAAACGACTTTCATCCACTGTGTCTCGGTTTGAAAGCGTTTCTGTGAAATGAAAAAAAAAAGATCTAAGCGAGTTACCAGTGCGGTATGTTTAAATATTAAACATCGCTTCTGCAGATAAAACTGCTATGTTTGGTTCCGTTTCTTGTTAACAAACAAATGCTTCGTTATCGTAGAAATTGTTTAAATATTCATCATAACATTCAGATAGTGATTGTCACTGAGATTTTGCCATCAGAATTCTCTTATTAACCTTGTCACATCTCATGAAATTCAAATGCACAAGATGTATAATTTATGTTACATATTTATTTAATATCACTTTAATTAATTACTTTCTTTTGTATTGAAAATATAATTAAAATTTATTCATAAAATGTTAAATTTTCCTTCGTCCTTTGAAATGTCGCCCACCAACCGCAATCATGAAAAATAAAATCTTTGAATGTTCAAAAAAGAAATTATCCACGTTTTGACAGATGGAATAAATAAGTAGCAACAGGTTTGATTACAAAATCTCATCCAAAAGAAATCAGCAGAAATCAGTCATTCACTCGCAGATTTTTTTTCTAATTTTTTTTCGAAAAATCGTAGATAAATATTTAAATTTCTATAATTTTTTTATTTATCTTGAAAATTCAATCACGTTCACAGTCATGTCACATCAAATGTTTCCTTTTTCTCTTTCAAAATCTATACATTTACTTAATAAGATTTTATTTTCCAGCTTTATGACGCATTCGCTGATATCGTTAGATATATCAGGAAATCTCTTTCAATCAGTACCATTAGAATCAATAAAATCAATTCACACTCTAAGTAGACTGATAGCACAAAGGTAAGAAGAGCTTCATCAAAGTTCTTAATCTAATAGGAATTATTTTCAATTTACTTCTTCCATGTTTGTTCATCGTCTTTCTTCCCTTTTCGCTTATCTTTGCTGATAAGTAAAACAAAAAGTTAAGAAAATATTTTACCCCGTAAGGAACTGAAAACATGAGAAGAAATAAGATCAGAGATAGAGAAGAAGTTATGTGGTTTTATTTACATGAGATGTTTTCTTCTGTTATGCTTGCTTTCTTCGTAACGTTGCAATAAAATGATAAATCATATATTTACATTTAAGTTATAAACAAGTTACTTTAAAAGTGGAAAAACATTTTCCAGATGAAAGTTTCATCAGAACGTTGAAGAATGTGTGAAACTATAACGAGAAATCATAAAGCAGGGAAAAGTTTTCTACTCTCCTATTCTTCAACTTGCTTTTAATTAATTTTCCATTGAGACGTCACGAACTGATAAACTTTAACTCGCTCCCAATTCATATTAAATAAAAGTTTAACATGTTCAAATCTACTTCTTGCATAATTAAGTTCGATTTTTTTCTTCTCAATTAGAAAACTTCAGTAATATAATTTCTTGATGAAGAAGATGAAGGAAAAAATTGTTAATTAGATTTGGTAAATCAAAAGTTTTTATAAAGTTCATTTTATTCTGATTCTCAATGGATCATTAAAATCCATCATAATAAATAAGATGATGGTAATTTAACTGGAAATCAGAGTTTAACATTTCAATTTAAAGAAAGTTTAATGATTTAAGATTTGAAGATTCTTATGTCAGAATGAACTGTTAAGCTTATCGAATGTTCATTTCTTTAAAACAAAATCTTCACACAAACCCGTTTCAACATTTATAACTTTATGAATTTCCAACTCAAATCTCAAAGGACATTTTATGTCTATTATGCAAACTTTTCTACCTTTTCATGAAAAAAGAAACCAACAAGAATTGCTTTCAAAGTCTTGCGGTTACACCTTGGAAATTCCCTTCATTTTTTCTTTACTGACAAAATTTCAAAAGGGAAGAAAACTTCATGAACTTTTCTTTAAACATCAAGGGAAGGAAGAAAGATATTTAAATGCAAACACCTTCACCACTTTTTTTCAATCATTTCAAATATCTTCGCTTCCTTTAACATAACAGAAAGGCTTCAATTATACTTTCAATTCATAGTTTATCTTCATCTCATTTTACCTTTTTTTCTATCTTTTATTCTATTCACAGAAACTTTATACAACATCTCGATGGTAATTGGGGTAATTTAGCTGATTCCTTACGAAGTTTGCATTTATCCGAAAACTCAATTAGTGAAATAACTTTTAATCACGATGAAAAGAAACATAATTATTCGACATCAGCTTTATCTTCATTACCCGCATTGATTCAGATGCATCATCCTATCGTGCCAGAATCATCAACAACGGGAAAGCAACAACCGTATAAAACTTTCTCAAAACTTAAGAAATTGGTGTGGCTCGATTTAAGCTCGAATCGTATTCAGCACATAGGATCAAATACACTTCCAAAGACTTTAGTAACATTAGATTTATCGAGGAACTTACTATCGATGTTTCCTACAAATATGTTGGAACATCTACATGACCTAAGGATATTGTCATTGCGAGACAATTTATTAACAAAATTAAACGACATCAACTTTCAAACATTCAAAACACATCTAGAAAAGATCGATTTGAGTCAAAATAACATCGATGAATTACCAGGTCATTTATTCAATAGCACGACACCCATAAAAGCCATTAATTTTGATAAGAATTTTATAACTTACGTGCCATCGGAGGCATTTAGAAACATGAATATTGTGCATTTAGTCCTATCATATAATCATTTGAAAGACATCGATTTAAATGCATTTGCAACGTTGGAAGAGAGTCTTGAATATCTTGACTTGGAACGGAATTTCTTAACGACCATCCCAATGGCCATTTACAATCTGAACAAATTACGCTACCTTTACTTCACATCAAATGCAATAAGTTCAGTTGATATGCTTCCAGCAACATTGAAAGTGTTATCATTGAGCAGCAATAACTTTAGTCGAATACCGGTTGAAGTTCTTATCAATTGCACTGAGCTATCATATCTTAACATGGGATACAATAAGCTTACAAATATCGATTCGAATAGTTTTGTTGGATGGGGAAGTGAAATTCAGACACTCTTACTTCGAAACAATAAAATTTCTGATCTTGAATATGGCGCTTTCAACGGTCTCGACTCGATTAAGGAAATCAGTTTGAGTTTCAATGATATTCACAATATTCATCCATTGGTGTTTGAGAACGTATCGAAGTCATTAAAAATTCTCGAGCTATCATTTAGTATTTACAGTGAGGATTATCCACAAGAAGCTATCTCATATCTCAACGAACTTATGTGGCTCGGATTGGACAATAACAATTTGAAACTAATACCGGACGATTCGTTATCGACCCTTTTCGAGTTGACTTACATAAACTTATCATTCAATCGCTTAACGCTGATCCCTCAGCAACTTTTTTTGGTTGATATTCATCGAAATTTGCTCGAAATCGATTTGTCGTATAATGCGATAGAGAAAATAACATCGCAAACATTCAACGGATTGGAATTGCTGCAATTAATCAATTTATCATCAAATAAGATCAAGTCTATAGAGAAGTCATCGTTCCATCATCTACCCTACTTGACTTACATCGACTTGACGTACAATCAGTTGAGAAATTTAAGCGAAAATGCTTTCGAATTTCTGCCAAATCTTCTTAGCATAGAATTAATGTTCAACAATCTTTTCACGTTCTCATTAAAATGCTTTAAACACGTTTCGAACACATCAACACCCATGTCAATAAACATCAGCAACAATGCAATCCATCATTTTGACGGTGAGTTAAGTACATATCTCTACATTCATTCATTGGATGCCAGTAACAATCAATTGAGTGAACCACAAGCATTTAAAAACATTGGCTATTCGCTAAGAGTTCTCTACCTAAATGGAAATAATTTGAGTCTTTTGGGAAATCACGCGTTTGGAGATTTGCCGCTTTTGGAAATTTTAAATTTAGCCTTCAACAACATTACTTCACTGCGAAGGAGAAGTTTCCAAGGACTTTCAAATCTGCAAGAGCTCGACTTGAGCTATAATAAAATTGAGTCGCTTCAGGTTGAACAATTTTTCAATTTAAAGAAATTGCGATATTTGAAATTGAACAACAACAATATTCGAAGTTTGCCACGTGACGTTTTTCTCAACACGCGCATTGAATATCTCGATTTATCAAACAATTACATATCGATATGGCCAGTCAATTCCTTCTCGGATGTCGGATTTACGCTTCGTTCAGTTCGCATAAACGCAAATCAACTGGAATATTTAGACTCAACGATGTTTATGAACACACAGTATTTGACAGAGCTGAACTTATCGTATAATCAATTGAAGATTTTACCTGACAACACGTTTTCAACACTAAATAATTTGACATCATTAGATTTGAGCTTTAATCCTTTGATAACAGCAAATTTTCGAGAATTACTTTTAAACGTTCCACAACTTAGATTTCTTAATTTAAAGTCTACGGGTTTGTATTCAGTGCCGACAATGTATTTGACGTACCTAATTGAGCTTGATTTGAGTAAGAATCAAATTCAAGATGTTGACTCTCTTCTTGACTTGAAATACTTGAGAAAATTAAGTCTTTCAGATAATAAAATTTTTAATATAACAACATTGGCACGTAACTTGCCGCCGTCATTGCGTTCGCTTGACATCTCAAGAAATCCTATTCGGAAAATTTCACTGCATGATTTCACGCCAATAAGACGTCTGGAAGAGATGGCAATAGAAGATGTAAAGATATCAAACACAGATGCTTTCATTAAATTGCATAGCTTGAAAGTACTACGGATATGTTCGCAACATAATTTAAGCGACATCATATCGAAAATGCGCGGTTTACGTGAACTCTACATCACCGTTTACGATCATCGATTAGATGGGAAATATTTTGGTAAAATGTTGTCAAATACAAAGCTCAATTTAATTGATATTAGCGGACATAAATTGCGATCAATTTCTTCAAATGCATTTCATGGTTTGGCACGAAATTTGTATTTGAAAATTCGAATTCGGAAAACGATGATTAGTGATTTACCGACAAATCTATTTTATGCCTTAAAACATATACCAAAATTGTCAATCGACCTTATTGATAACAAATTGTCGAGGTTTTCGCCCGATATATTCTATCCTAACACGAGCGCTTGGGACGCTGTTGGAACGAGAAGCATTATGGGTGGAATTAGTACGATGGGAAACACATTGCCATGTGATTGTGATCACGTCTGGTATGGACATTGGTTAAGACGCTGGCTACGTGAGACGGCACAAGTTAATGTAGTAACAAAAGATGAAGCCAAGCGAATGCTCAAGGTAATTAACATTAATTTTTTTATCTTTCTCTTTCCTGAATCTTAATCAGCTAATCACACGTTGCTGAATATTTTATTAATTTTCGAAACAGAAATGTGATTATGCTCACACTTTGTTGTAACGTAAATTATTTTAAAACGTTTATGTGTATCAAAAACTCTTCTTTCAATGTTACACAAAAAATAAATAACGAAATTGAAATAAAATAATATTTCTGAGCTTAAATAGTATCACAAACATAATAATAATAAAGGACAGAGAATCAGAGAAATCAATTGTTTATATGTCCGAGAGGATGACTCAATTCAATTTCGATATAATCTACTAGAGATTGCCTGATAAAAGCACAAAAGCTACAAAAGCAAACCCCAAAATAACACAAAACATCATTTTCTGTTTCTGACCGACAAATTGTTGTTCATGTATAGTGTTTTTGTAGATGAAAATGAAAATATTTTTCATTGTTTTGAAGCAGAAAAATATATGAAATTGATTTTTTGGAAAACTTCTTTTTCATCCCATTGACAAACACAATATTTGAATATTCGTGTTTCTTATCATCATGCTTTTTATCTTTTTTTCTAACGCAAACGTTAACAGAGAGCTCGACAAAGTACGTGCATCGATCTGATGAGTGGGAAGCGTATCTCATTTCTGGAAATATTCCCAGAGGACCTCTTATGTCATGCATCAGCATTAAGTAGCTTAGGACTCACATTGAAATTTAAGTATTTGTTATTATATCTCAGTGCAGTTGCATTTTTTTCGTGGAGAACTTTTTTGTAAAATTTTATAAATAGAAACAACATTTATTTTTCTTAATGTAATCCCTGATGATAAATGAATGAATTAGTTGAAAATTTAATAAGTTTAATGAGAAAAACTTTTTCAAGTTTTTCAAATATAGGAAAAAATAATTTCAGTGACGGCAACGTTAATTAATTTTTAAATGATATTTTAATTTCCCAAATGCACTAAAATTTCACCAAACAATGTCAAATAAAGTAATTAAAACATTGGTAGGTGAATATAGATCAAGAATCGTGATCTTTGTAGAAAATTTCCTTGAAAACTATTAACATAAATATAAGAAATGATTTAATTAGATATTAATGGAAAAGTAACATAAAATGAAAGCATAACTTTTTATATCGGTCCGTTAGATTTTAAGTCTTTATCAAGAAGCGACATCGTCGTTCATTTAGAATCAATTTTCACCGACTGTGTTTTCCAAACATCCTAACATTACTTTTTTTCCAAATTAAAACTTTCACAGTGAAAAGCATGAAAATGAAACTGATTTATGTGATATGAAGAAGAAAATTCTATTGTAATTTTTTGTAAATAACTTCTGGAAAAGAAGAAATGAAATAAAGAAAGAAAAACATGTTCACTTTAGGGAATTTTTCAAGGCACAAAGAATAAAAAAAGAAAGAAAAACGAAATCGAGAGAAAATTTATTGTAAAATTACATTATCGAATTGGTTTCTTTGGTTCCCGTTAAGCTCACATACAGTTTGATCAATATTCTGTTTGCAAACATACGCTCTACGCCGCATAAGAGACGAGAAAGAAATGCTGCTTAGGAAAATTGGTATTTTATATCATTCAGCCCATTCAGAATACACGCACGCCCGAAGGATAACAAGAATTCTGAATTAAAATTTAAGAAAAGTCTCGTTCACTGTAATTCACAGCAAAAATCCAAACACCTTCTTTCAGATCAAATTTATGCACAATGTAATGCTTTGTAGATTGAGCGAAGCGCTTACGTATCGATTCCGGATCAGATGAAAATAAACAACGTTAAGGAGAAGGAAGCTGCATATTTTGGATATTTGTTTCTTCAGGTGTTTTCAGCTCGATTTCAGATGTAACCTGTTGTGTGTTTGTTAAACTTTTCTAGCCACCCCATGCGTATATCTTCCTTAGAACAAGAAGAAAAAGTGGAAAATACGTTTTCAAATGGAAGGTGAAAATCTTTAACAAATTTATATGCGAATTGGGTCGCTTTTTCTTCTTTACTTTTGTAAATTTCTCCTTACATTCCCATGTTTACCGACTTTTCACATTTCTTACAAAAAGAAGCTTGGTTATCGACGATATATTTTACAATGGAATGAAATTGAGTGTACTTTGGGGAACATTCACTCCGCATTGATAATAATGAGAATTTATTTATGCGAAATTTTCTTTTCTTGGGTTACTAAATTTTACCATAAAAATATTTAGATCAAGATTAGAAATTTCAGATTCTCTCAAAAGTAAACAATAACTTGGAAGGAGCTTAAAATTGCTTTGTTGTCTATAAAATATGCAAGCGGAATTATCTTTCTTGACAATGCAAATTTTCCAACAGATTAGATTCTATGAATGATCTATTTTTTGAGTACAATAACATGAATTTGAACAGAATCTAAGGAATGCGTACATGCATCTATCTACATTTTTTTAAATTGTTCCTTCTACGACTATGAAAGCAAATATTTAAATCAAATTGAAATGTTCCAATACGAGATTGAAAAAGATTTGTGTTGCATGTGTGTAGAAGTGAATTCATAAGATTGAAAGATAATTTAAGACGATCAAAGAGCCCAATTCTGAAATTTTCAAGTTTTATAGAATTCAACAAACTTCTGTTTTAGAAAGGAATTTTCATCCTAATTAGATACTTCAAATTGATATCAAAATCAAGAAAAGAAAATTATTTTTTATAAAAATGGGTATTTGTGTAGGTTTTCAACTTAAAATCTTGTTTCTTTTGCTATATTTATAGAATGTAGCTTGAAGAATGTCTGATTTACAGCCAACATATTATAACAACAAAAGCTTTCAAATTTTGGCTGAAAATACAAATTTTCGCAATGATAAAATATTTTCCTTCCTCATATCTAATTTAACATCGAGATTATAATTTACGCCTTGATTGATACAATCAGGAAATGATTTCGACAATTCAGAGTAAGAGTCATGAGTAGACAGAAATCCCTCACACAACAAATAACATCAGCAAAAAGCTAATTTCGATCGAAATGAAAAGTGCTCATAACTAATTGTATGCGAAGGCAAATACTTTATATGCAAATTAATTTGATGAGTATGGAAATTTTTTTGTCTTCCTTTGTTGTTCACTTTACCATGCGAAGCGATAACAAACAAAATCCATTTATCAAGATTAATGCATGTTGGTTTCATTGTGAACTCGCAAGTATTCAACACTCCGGTAAAAAAATAAATAGAAGTATTCAAGGAGGAAAAATGAAGTGAGATTCAATTTTGTGAGGGTTCATTTAATATATTTTTTATTGTTGGGAAGGTGTTTGAATACTTTTCAGGTATTTATTTATAGGAATACTAACATGATATTCTAACTTTTTTATGGAAGAAGTTTTTATGAATTTAATTATCAGTTTTAAAGGTAAAGTTGCATGTTGTGTAAGTTTATGTTATTTTGTAATCAAATAATGAAAATATCATAAAATCTTCCTTGAAAACCTTCATTCAGTAATAATGAAATAGGACAGAATTAATGATGGCTTGGAATTTTTTTTTTTGGAAGAGCTTTAAGAACATTTGAAATTCTAATACAACTGAAGGAAATGAAGCTAATAAAATACTTAATCGGCGGGGAAGTTAGGAAACTCGTTTGTTCAATCATGCATACAAAACCGTTATGTTTAAGTATAATGAGATTTAATCATAAAGTTTGGAAAGTTTTTGTAAAAATTTAGGGTGAGAAATATATCAAAGTTTCACTGAACACAAGAGCGAGTGTTATACTTATATAGATAAACATAAAATTGCTCAATTATTCCAACATCAGTCGGAAGATAAACGAAAGCTTCCTTTCCGTTTCAATGAATCATGCAAAGTTATGAACATAAATAAAATCTTGACTCCTTGTGGGAAGAATAATTCATTTAATGCAGGATTTATTTAATCAATTTTTCATTTTACTCAAAACCACGAATTATCTAAATGAATAATTTAATATTTCTATCGCATAGCATGTAGTTTTCAATGTTTCACATTCTCATTCTTTTCAAATTTTCCACCACTTAGTGCCGAATTAACGAGCGTGATTTTAATTTCTTTTTCAATAATTTATAATTCATCCTCACTTTTTGTTTCATAATTTAAATTTAATCATTCTTTTTTTGTGTACATAATATCGATCGGAATCGTTTGCGTGTTGACATGAAGTCATAAAAACGTGATAATAAACTTATAACTGTAAGAGTGGATCGATAATAGCAATATTTTAACATTGTTAATCCATTTGAGAAATTCTTGTTTATTCACCTATTTGTATCTTGTGGTAAATAAAGTGAGACATCTAATATGTCAACAGAGTGACGGTATTTATACATATTTACTGTACGTAACAATATTTTGAAATTGATGATAAATATAGAAAAAAGTTCAGGAATTCTGCTTTGACTTCTTCAAAAGATTCATTGATATGTCAGTAAAAAGATCTTTGAAAAAAGATATTAATAAAAAATCCTGAAAATAAACATCACTGATGTGGTTCATGTGGCAAATTAGCTTTTCCACGGAATTGAATTTCTTTCAATCAATTTAAAGTATTTCTTCTGACTTTTCACTTAAACAAAATTCATTAAAATGAACATCATTTAATGTGGAATGTTTTGCGTGAGATTTTCATTCGCAACCAATTTTCTTGTTCAGTCACTTGTCTTAATGTTTTTGAAACGATGACAGAATTCTTAATTATCTAAATCTTTTCAGCTTTTGCCAAATCTTCCCTTTGTGAATGTTTTGATATCGTATCAAAATTGCGTGATGGAATGTGAAAGGAATCCGTTTTATTTTTTTTTAAGGAATTGACCTTGGACGTGAAAGCGTGATGTTTGCGAAATGAGTCGTAAAAATTACTAAACCTTCGTGCAAATAATTTTGATCATAACTTGATGTACATCCTGCTGAGTTTACTCTTCATCATTATAATTCAGTATTCAGTATAGCAATTAAACATTCACGTGTAAGAATCAAATGTTGAACATTATTTTCCCACAAACCTTGTTTTAAGAATTTCTTTGTTTTCCTTTTCTCTTCCCACTTCCACAGACTATTAACATTTTTTATAACAGCAACGAATGTTTACGCTAATATGAATTAAAATCATCAGCTCAACATATTTGAATTTATCGTGGGAAATGAGTGTTAATATTCATGTTATTCAAATTATATTTTTCTGATTTCAATGTTCATACAACCACATAATTTTCCACATGATTGAAAAAGTTTTTTCTTTCCTAAACTTTAATAAGAACGAATGTTTTATTATATTTTTCATTCAAAAATATTTCACAAAAAAAAACATAAAAAGTCAAGAAAAAAGTGTTGACTTGAAAGAACGTTGTGTGATTGATGGCATGTGACCCAAGCAAGAAGGCAACAACAAAAAATAAAGGAATAAAAAAGTTTTCAAAGCGTGCCATTCATTCGTCTGCTCCATTCAAGATTGATTTTAAATTAAGATGGATTTAGGTTCTACTTGAATCTGATTTTCGCTACATCAAATTGATCGGATAAGAGCTTCTGAAATGTTTATGCATTTCTGAGACAAGTAAAATGAATTACGGATATTAAATTTCCCCTTTTCCACCACAAGGTAATTGCATATTCTAAATTTTACAAGACTCCAGAATTAAGAAAATAATTAATCTTTTTTCGTATACAAACCAAATTCAAAGGTTAAAAGTTGAAAAGTGAAATCAAATGCACAAAACCACTTCAATTCTATATCTTCCTTTTTCCTGCCATAAACTGAAACAGAGAAATGTTAAAAAGCTAGCGAAACATGAGGGAAACTTTTGTGAATTCCACAAGAATTCCAATAAATTCTTTTCTCTGTTCTCCTATTCTGGTGCAATCGAGAAAAAGTTCATTAACAATTAGAATTCACATGGTGCTGAATCAGCCTTCCGACTATCCGGATATATCCGGAAAAAGAAGAAAAAGAATTTGAGAAATTTCTTGGAAATGAAGTGAAGTTACATCACAAAGCGAACGATGCTTTCATTTCAATTTAAAATAAAACTTGATTGTATGTAGATACGTGTACAAAAAAAATGTTTTGCTCGTCGTTTTATTTTGCATTGCCATGTGTGACCTGTCATTGATCATTGATCAATGATTAAAATCATTTTATATTTATGTTTGTTTTGAGTGACTTTAATGGAGGTTTGGTCTCGAGAAAATTTTAAATTAGGAATTCAAATTTATTCTTTCAAATTCTCAGCTATTTGATTAATTCAAACTTAAGTAAACAATTTCTATGGCTTTGTCTTGTCACTAAACTTCTCAGAGGAAAGTCTTTTGTTCAGTGATTTCGTTATAAGGAGAACAAAGTTGAGAACGGAAGAAAATTGGTAATCAAAATTATTTTTGTAATATGATAATTATTTTTAAGCGATTTGTATTTTAATTGCTAAGTTGATTAATTAATTTCCTTTTCATTTACATCCACACTGTAAAGTATAATTTAAGTTTAGAAATTTATTTTTGATAATTTTGAAGTAAATTAAACTTTACTTCTTCTCGAAAAACTTTCTTTGGAAAAACTTCTTCTATTTCTCAAGCATCTTCTTCTGCTGATAAATGTTTGCAAGATTGTAAAGTTTTATTTTCTTCGCCCCTTTAAATGAATGAATGAAATATTATGTAATGACAAATGTAACTGCAACAAAATTCAGTTAGATAGTCACATTTTTAGGTTTTTGCTAATAGATGAAAACTTTTAATTAGAAAGCAACTTGAAGAATAGTGAAAAGATTTCTTGGGGTTATTTATGAACCACATCGGAAGAAACATTTTTCAAAATATTTCCATAAGAATTTAAAAACATTACAAAGTCACTGAACTAGATATTTTAAATTTCTTTTACGTTCATGGAAAAAGAGTTTCCAGCTCTCTTTCACTGATTTTAATTGCTTTCTGTGTGATTTTCTCATGCCTGGAAAAGCTCTTAAAGGATTTTAAGATGGCGCTTGGGATTTTATTAACGATTTAATGCTTTTAGGTCTGACCTTTTCTTTCTTGATGAAATTTCATAATTCATACTTTTTCCTTAATCGTCATGATTCTTAATCCCACTTTGAACTTAAAAGTGAACATAAATTTTTGATCACGTTCAATCCTGAGCATGAAAGTATGTAAGAATGTTTCGCATTAGTGTATAATTTATTTTTTGCTTCTGTTCAACATAAACTTATTAATACTTAAATTTGTTCAGGTAATAAAATTTGAGGCTCTAAAATATTTTGTGCGAAGGCGACAATCTATGAAGAAATTAACGTAAATGATGATTAATATAAATTGGATATATTATTAAAGTATTCAACGGAATCTTAATTCAAAGAACTCTCATAAGCATACATAATACCTCAAAGCTTATAAGTTTTCTAAACACATTCCATTCTGCTAAGTAATATCATTGTGCGTGCTTTAACACATTCCACATACGTTAGAATTCCCATACCTCATATAAGCCTTCTCTGAAACTTCGTTTCTCTTGGCACCAAAACATTCATTTTGCATGCTAGTTGTGCGCTTGAAACAAATGAAAAAGCCTCAGATAATCAAAAAGCAAAGTGAAAGTTGTAGTGAATCTTAACATATGCTTGAATATATTTCAATAAATATCCTTAAAAATTTGGTGATATCACGCGTTAATTTTTGATGTCTTAATTTAGACACGATTAATGATTAGAATAAATAATTATGAGAAATATGAAACGTTCTTTTGAAAATTTACTGTCATTCATATGGAAAATGAAAAATGAAGCAATTGTCATTGAGGACACGGATGAAAGAACTAAGTTTATGTATTATTATGTGAACAAATTACCCTTGTAATGAAAACAGTAAGAAATGAATCAGAAAGCTTTTATTTTCTTTTTCAAATTTTCTTAAATTGGAAACAATTCAAAAAGATTTCCGGTAATTTAATTTTTTAAGGTATTAAATCAACGTGAGAATGAATGTTTTCGGGTATATCTTTGATATAATTCCGTCCCTTCACACCTTCTTACGAAGTCAGAATTTATCGTGTGACTTGGCTCGACGTTAGATGTTTTAGTGCATGTGTAAATTCAAAGCCCGTGACGAGATTGAATAATTTATGTATTCAGATAGCTACTCTTCTCCACCTTCACAGCATCCTGAAATAAATAAATAAAACATAATTTGGATTTGAATGAATAGTGCCTCGATCCTTGTTACACTACATCAATCTTATTTTTACTCTCTTCATTGAATTTATTTCGGATCCTTCCATATATCAACCCTTTTCTCGTATCTCTTTATACTTACTCCTCTATTCAACAGACCAAATCTAACATTGTTTTCTCTCCTTATCTCTGCCTTCATATTCAAGAGATTAATGTTAACTTTTATGATACTTAAGAAAAACAAATTTCCTTTTTTTATGTTTTATCTTTTTTGGGAAACTATTTTTATTGCTAACCAATTGAGAATGAAATTACAGAAATAACTTAATTTTTTTTGTTTTTTCTTCATTTTCATTTGAAGTTTGACTTATAATTTTAATCAATTATCTAAAAACTTTCATAGAAAATTATTCGAGGAAATATTCTTTTGTTGTATAATTTATTTAAATGTAGAACATACAAAAGAATCATCCCTCTGGATAATAATCGTTTCATATTCTAAGTAAGCTAGAAACAAATTATCTATTGATAGAAAAAACCACAAAGCTACGAAGTTTTCCTTCCTGACATGGTTAAACCTATAAAATGAGAAACGAATTTTCCAAATTACACATAGAGTTGTAATCTACATTATCCTTTGTTGTTTGTTTAAAAATTTATAAATTAAATTTTTGTCTCTAATATATTCATATTCCAAGCGAGTAGCGAAACTCTTCTTCCTTTTCGTCTTCACAATTTAAATTATTAATCTTAAACCCTTTTATTTATTTATGCCGGAAAAATTTCAATATCTCTACCATGTAATGTCTTTCCGATTACAATGACAGAAGAAGAAAAGGATCTTCTTGATCAAAAGCCTCCGAAATTGAATAAGTTGAAGTAAACAAAAAAAATCGACAAGATGAAAGTTCTGTAAGAATGTCATTACAAAATTTTTCGACTTATTGACATTCAACCTTTCCTAGGTTATCTTAATAATTTGATTATACGATGAAAACTGATGATACTTTGTTAGATGATAGATGAAAGAATATTTTCGCATAATTTTCTTAAACATGAAGAAAGTTTCGAAACGAACAAAAGGCTTTTTCTTTGCAAGTCGTTTTTTCAGATGGATCACTTAAAAAATTATCTTTCGACTTATGTTGAAAGTCTTTTCCTAAGTTAATCCCATGAGGGCTTTTTGCACTTTTCTTTTGTTCCACTCACTTAGGCATTGAAATTCACTGACGCTTTTACAACCGTCTCTAAATTTCTGATCTCGTCAATCTCTTGGGGACGTGATGATAATTTGACTCGAGGATTGAAGTTTCGTATTCCGGAATTAGATTTTACTGGTAAAAGTGTCACAAGTGAAGGAGTCGTTGACGTAAATCTTGTAATGGGAGATGATGACATAAGCGAAAGAATTTCTTCGTATTTTGTTGGATCAACTGGCTCAACTTCTGCATGTCCCATCATCGGTTCCAAAGAAAATTCGCTACTACTTGTCATTTTTGTCATTTCACGGTAGACAGAAGGTGTAGGTGTAGCTTTGGTTGTTGATATTCTTGTCGTGGGACGTTGCTTTCTGATTGCAGTTGTACTTGGCTTTCTTGTTGTGCGATTATTGTTACGAAATTTATTATGCTGTGAGAACGGTGGCATTTTGCTTGCTAAATCGATTGGCTTAATCCCAAGCTTTGCAGCCAGTGTATCGAAAATTGATGACAATTGTTGTAAATTTGTTTTATCAACTGTTCGATTATCTTTCGAGTTATCAACTCGACTTTCGTGAGATGCTGTGGTTTGTGAGTTCTCAACGATGACAGCTTGTAATGTCTCATTGAAGACTTTCTTCGTTATGCTTGCTTCAGTTACATTAGCTTGTGTTCCATTGACAAATTCCCATTTTGATATCGCTGGAAAGAGTTGTGGAGATGGTGCAGTGGTTTGAGGCACGGTAACAGCTGTTGATGGAGAGTTTTTCATTGTTTCGACCTGAATGAATGCTGTTGTTGGTTTTGCTGTCGTTTGCATGCTGCTACCAGAAATCATCTCGAACGATGATAATTCCAAGTTCTCTTCGTTCACCTCTTCATTCGATTTATTTTTCTGCATTTGCACTATGAAATCTTTCATGTTCATGAAATTTAATCTCTCAGTTGTCGTCAAGATTTGCTCAGTGGATAAATTCTCTACTGAATCTTCCAAAGCTATCCTCGATTCTAGCTTGTTGTCGTCGGTTTTATTAAAATTCAAAGTGTCGTTTGTGTCATCTAAGTCTAATAATTCTTGGAAAATGTCAGCAAGACTCGTCTCTGTGGTATTTCTCGTCTTCTTTTCTTCATTCTCATGAATAACATCAAGCGAATCATTCACATTTTCTCCATCAACCAACAATTCTTCGTTCGTTTCTGGTTTTTTTGCAATTACACCACCTCCCAAGTGCTCAAACTTATCCATGTCATAATTTATTTTTGTGCTTTCGGTTTTGTTTGTCTCTCCAGGCGAGAGCGGTTTAAAGTCGGGTACCCTTTGGATTTCATTTAAATCGATTTTATTTACCGGGAGCGGATAAGGTTTAACATCAGCAATGCCTAACTTTTCAATTGCCAATTCCCCAACAGAGAACTCAGGATTGTAAAAGCTTTGATACAACACCGAATCTGAATCGCTTGTGGTGTTGAGTGGATGTATCATGTCGGGATCAACAAACTTATTTCGATACAAAACTGTCTCTGGAGGGTTTGGATTAAAAGGACTGTGAAGTATGTCAGGTGATACAGAAGATGAATCAACATTTGACGATGTCGTGACTTTTGGATATAAGTTTGCTGTTGCTGCGTTTACTTGTGATGACGATGGATTAATCGGACGCCATGGTTCATTGTCCAATATTGGAGCGCTTGTGAAGAGACTTACATCCAGTTGGGGTAGATTTTTACTCAGTTGAAAATCGAGGGGAAGTGGAGAAATTTCACGTACGGTTGTTGAAGAGGTTGATGATATTGAAATGATCGGGCTATCAGCGCTTTTTGAGTTCTCAGTAGTGGGGGTGGCAGTGGTGGTACTTGAAGCATGAGTTTTTCCAAGCATCGTTTCCCCATTTTTATTCGTTTTCTCAATTTTTGCTGTGACCGGCTCTTTGATCTTCTTCTGAATTTGTTGCTTTTGATGTTGCAAAAACATTTCCAAAATATTTTCACTTACCGTTGGAGCTACTGTTGAGTGCATTTCGTTAGGCTTTATTTTAATTGATGATGCGGGGCTGATGAAAAATGGTTTTAACGTGCTTGGCGTTAATGATGCAGTCGATGCTGGCCTTTGATTTGCACCAGAACGTTTTTGTGCGATGTCAGCGTCAGTCTTTGTTATTTCAAATGAACCGTGAATTACGGGGAGGTTTTCCATGTCAACGTCACTCTCATGAATTGGCTTTTGACTCCTTTTCCCACCAACGGTATATTTCGATGTTGCTGATGTCGCTGTTGACAATTTAGACTTTGCCTTTTCTGTAGTTGTTATGAGTTTTTTTGACGATGACGAAGGCAAATCATCAAGTGATATTACAGTTGTTGGAACGGGCGTTGTAAGCATTTCCAGTGACTGAAATGGAACATGAACATGCACAAAACTTTAGACAGCACTTATCAAAATTTCAATTGTAATTACTTGTTCACGGAAGAGTGCTGCTTGTCGCAAAATTTCTGGATCGAGCTGTCGTTTTATTTCAATGCTGCCATCATCAATTCTGAGATTCCGAAAAATTGAGTCGCGGTGAGCTGTTTCGCTGATAAATGCATTTTTAATATGCTCTTCAACATTAGTTATGGTCCTACATATAAACAGAAATTTATTTTTTTTTGGATTAGATATTCAAATATTTCAATAACAATAAAAATGAAAATTGAAGAAGGAAAAAAGAATTCAAATTTCGCAAATCTTTTTTAATTTCCATTGAAAATTTCATCGATCTGACTGACTTACATTTGTATTTTTCTCATGTCCAAATAAATGCGAAAACTCAGCTGTACATCGGGACCAGCACCAAAGCCATTTATTTCGGTTTTGGCAACATTAAAATTCCCATGTTCCAATGACGTTTCGATAAATTTAGTGTAAAAAGCCGTTTTCTGCTTATAAATTGACGTATGGTTATACTTCAATCCTGATGAAAACACATCGCCTTTTGCAATGCGAAATATGCAGTCAAAAACGAGAGTTGCTGGGAATAAAATAAAATAAAATCAAATGAATAATTATAATATTTCATTGTCGTTCATTGTGTTGTGCCTTTGGTCACACTCAAAATGAACTGTGACTGAAGCTTTAGAACGGAATAGTTAATATTCATCAAATAGCGGTGACTTACATTCGTTTGGATCCGACTTAAATGTACTGAAATAAAAGGCTAAGGCAGCAACTGATAGTACCGCCAGAAGAACAATGAAAGCAGCTGACATGATGAGAATTGAGAACGAACGGATATTTATGCGCTTTTTGGAATAAATTGATGGTGACAAATGGCCCGTGTCCCGCCATAAACCCCACGATGTGTATCCGTAATGGCTAATTAAACTAACATCAGATGGATATGAATATTTTTACATATTGGGTTGATGTGAGTAGGCACCGAATAGTGAACGTCGACTCATCGAATTTTGGTACGATCCGCATGCATATTCATTTGCCTGTTTACGTAAGCAAAGAAATAAGAGGAAAATAAACATAACGTCAAGCATAAATCGGATTTAAAAGAATTAAATATAAATAGCAATATATCAATGATGCAACAAAATGTCAATTGTTGTTGTTGTATTGTAGAGAACCACTTAAAATATTTCATAAAATATCTCACGAAATGAAACAAACTGTTGCCATTCGATCAACACATGTTAAATTTCGCTTGAGGTTTTTCCTGCCTTCATTTAAAATATAAAAAAAGAATATCTACTTCAGATTAAAAAAATCATTTCAATGGAAACCACTTTAATTTAACATTTCGTGGTGTTGTTCAAGGTTTTTATATTTCTCCTTTTTAATTCTTCACATCCACATGTATATCTAATTAACGTTAAAGTTTTACGATTTCAATATCGTTATTTTGAATTATAAATTAGTTTTTTACTTTAAAAATTTATTCACACATTCACATGGTTTATGTTAAAATTACATTTTAAATTTTTAATGGCATTTTATGTAAATTGAGATAAATGAAAGTAACGTCTCAAGTTAGACAATCAGAGATTTTTTATTGTATGGAAATTTTCCGTCATTGAAGATTCCACCTTGGGAAACTTTATCCAACTCTTAATTAACATTAATAGTAATTACATGGGATCTGAAAAAAAGAAGCTCAAAGTTCTTGTCGTTTAGAAATCTACACTTACATCAAAAGAGTTATCGTTTGTGTTACGAAGCTTACATTTAAAATATTTAATTATAAACTTCTGGAGTGAGAGAAAAGGGGAGAGTTTTACGGTACGCTGAACAATGATTACTTATGATAATTATTTCATGTGATTAGAGTCGCAGGAAGAGCTTAATATGATGATATTTATCATCATCTTTTGTATGATTGCGAGAAGAAAGTTGCGTAAGATATTAAAAATTTAAAATCACAGGAAGTTTTAAGGGTAAAAAATTTACATCGTTGATACATCATTAAATAATAATTTCTCATAACACATCATGTAAATAAATAAATATGATGTTAAAAGGTGAACAAATTAGTAGGAATGCTTTATGCTTGTATTCTGCTGATGATACAAAACCACTTTAACCGAAAAATTTTTAACAATATTTTTACCTTATTCAGAGCTTCTTGAATTATGTTTTTACAAATAAGAGTGAAAGGTAAAGAAGCTTTGAATAAGTAAAATGAAATTTGTTTATTTATTAAAGTCGTTATTTACGTAATTTGTATTTGGGAATCAGAGATGGCAAAGCTCTAAAGTTCGAACCATTATCGATTACAATGATAAATGGAATGGAATGTTCAATGATCATGCAGAGCCCCTTGATTTAAACAGAGGAAAAGGTCGAAGCAGTAGAAGAACTAGATCATTAGGTAACACATTCATTTTCCTTTATTTCCCAATTTGCCAATTTAGACGCAGTAGAAAAAGCGAAAAAGCAGAAAAATTATTCGCTTGCTTCTGACTAGCTGTTTTTTTTCTGTGCCTTTGTTTCAACGACTCATGTTGATAACGAAATAAATTATGACATTCGATGAAAATGTTTACTTTTTTTTGTCTACGGAACGAATTCTCAATTGTGCCATTTCGACTGTCTCCCGATGACTTTCAACAAGAATAGCAAACTTGTTTTATTAAGCTCATGACAATCTAAATAACGGAAAAAATTGTATGTTCAACTATTTATTCAGGATGAGTATTGAAAATTTTTGTCCACAATCAAGTTTAAAAAGAAGGAAATTTCAAATGACGACACATTTAGCGAAGTATTTTGATTGGCTACAAATTGCGAGTGTGCTTATGTTACAGATTATCTAAAGTGCTTAGTCATTGGAAAATTTAATGAAATTGGCTGTTGAAAGATTCAATTGAAATGACAAAGAGATTTGTTTACATAAAATCTCACAAAGTAAAGCTGGCTGGAGATGTTTTTTAACAAAAGATAAGTGAAAAGAAATAACGTTAAATATTTTCACTTCATTAGCTCTAAAAGTTTTTTAACTAAAATTTAACGCTTCTCTTTCCATACTTAATTTTTACGAGTTTGTAATTTTCACGCTCTCTTCTTACAACAATTTTGTGATGAGTCATTCAAGAATGAAAAATAAAAAGTTTAAATTTTCAAGCACGTTCGTTTAATGGAAGATTCTCTTTAGTAATCTACATCAGGAAAAATAGAAAATTTCTTAATGAGCTCTTAACAAATTGAGAAAAGTGTTAAAAGTTTACACGAAAATATGTATCGACTGCAAAACATCTTTCCCACTCTAAACAATTTTAAAGAAATGGCAGACTATTCATTTATAGAATCTCGTTAACGATCAAGATTAATGGAATTTGCTCTGTGGTGGTCTATAGGAATCTTAACTGTTTCTTCTTTAGTTTAATGTCGATAATACAAGCTATATAAAAATCTACACACAAAATGATACAAAACAGCGGATAGAACCAAAAACAGTTTTTAAATACATTCCAAAACAGAAAATAATAATCGTATTTACCTAGATATGAATTAAAGATTTTTAAGAACGCAACGTAGCGCGTATAGAATAATTAATGATTTGTTGGTTGTTGTTTATCCATCATTTTGTTTTTGTTGTGATTGTTGCATCAATCTTTTTAAGATCACGATTTTCCCGTCATGTTCTTTTGAATTGTCGTCAGATAAATCGCTTTTTTCTGATGAGTTTGTGATGAATTGTGCAGAGATTAGAAAGAAGTGACATGTGAAAGATTTCAACTCGAGAAGGAAATAAAATTAAGTTCAAGAGAACAGCGATGAAAAATAGTTCCTCAGTTATGTCACAAGTTGAGATGAAAGGTCTTATACTTAATAATAATTGAATCTTGTAGAAATTCATCAAACAATCGTTTCTTAATTTCTCATGTTTGTTTAGCAAAACCTCATTTGCTCAATATAATCTCGCACGTTAATTGTTAATCCTCCGTTATGTGACGTACCAGAAAAAAAGTGAAACAAAATAAAAATAATGAAAGAAAAAGAAGGCAACTTTAAGAACAATGGAAATTAGTCACGACAAACGGCAACCTATTCTTGCAACATTTAACAATAATTAATAACATTTTTGGTAGTGAAATTATGCAAAAACTTATTTGATATGCAAAACAGTTATTTGTAAACTGAAATTCAATTATTCACAACTTGCATATCTAAACAATAAATATTCTAATTAAAGAATTGATTTGAATTCAGTTGTTTGCAGTTTAAATATAAAACACTTGAACAAGAAGAGAATCATTAGCGTGTTGAACAAAAGCTTACCTAGATCATCAACACACATCTAATTAGCAATGAAAACAAGAAAAATAAAATTTGATCTACAACAAGGAAATATCCATATGCGTGTCATAAAAATGATAAGAAGAAAAGCTCGAAGGTGAATAATGAAGCTGAATAAATCACTGCCATTTAAATTAATTTCCTTCAAGACTTAACTTGTCTCAACTCTCAAGTGCTTGTGTTCATGTTGTTAAGTTGTCGCAAAATAATTCCAAGAATTTTATATTCTTTCGACACAAGTCTAACAACGAAAACTCTTCAAACTAATTAAAATGATGAATTTGATCGCTTCTTTTGAAAGTCACATCAACTTCGTATCTTACATCTTGAAGAAAGAAAAAAAATTCTTTTTATTTATTTACTTCTCATGTTGTTGTCGTTTTCTGCACCATTAGCGCGATGAAGAAAGAGAAAAATTATAGACACAAAAAATATGTGAAATGTCATATCACAACTGCCACCGATATGTTTCTTTCTTTTTCTTTTTTTTTATTTGTAAGATAAAAAGGAAGTGTATTTTTTTTATTTCCTTGTCTATCGTCGGAGAAAGCTTCTAGCTGAAGAAAATTTATGAACATATTTATATATGTTGACATCAAAAAGCACATTTATGAGCTTTTCCAAATGAGATTGATTGTGTGAGGTCATAAATAGTAAATGTTATCTTTGGTGACGTCATCCAAAAATAACTTCAATGGAAATTATATGTTTTCATTTTTTTTTTTCAATGATTTAAAACAATGAAGAAAGATCATAATGCTCGTAGAACATAAACGCATATTTTCTTTAAAGGAAATCTCTAATGCCAATTGCTTAAAAGAATGCTTTATGACCTATATTTGTGTACTTTCATTCCGTATGAGAAGAAGACTACTTCAATTCTTCATAGAACAAATGACTTTATTTTAAAACCATGATATGAAAACAAAGACAAGTACCGTTGGTTGAGCAAGCAATTTAAAAAACACGAGTACGAGAGTAAATTTGTTCATTGTTGTTTGTGGATATTTTTGTGAAATAAAGAATGATAATGATGGTAGCGCGTTGTTTCTTTATTGTTGAATGCACAATGCCATCTTGAAATTCTAGCTCATTAGTGGCGCAAGCATGAAAATAGTTTGTTGTTCTTCTTCTGAATCTGAAGTTTTTTTGCCTTAATTCGTTCATCTCATGATTTTCACTTCAACAACGATTTTTTGTTCCATCATAAATTTCTTTCTCGTTTCTTATTTTCTTTTCCACATTATCTCCTTATTTCCGGTCCCGATGATATAAACATAAACTTCCTGTTACATTCTTTTTCTTCCACATTAACCATAACGATTTAGCAAATGCGAAACACTTCTCTTGTGAATTTATTTTATCCTGTCATAAGCACTTTTGCCAAATTATAAGAGACACACATTCACATATTTCGTTGAAATGCTTTTAATTTCATAAAACATGGCAACGAAATAAGACAAAAAAAAAGTTGCCTTCTTTTTTCGCTACTTACTCGTGAACTGTTAAAAAGTTTGCAAGGATAACTATGTAGGTATAGAACAAGAAAATGAAGTTATTTTCACCCTGTTTTAACAAAAGAGGCACAAACTTATGTAACGCTCGGTTGAAAAGTGGAATATGTTAAGAATGCCAAAAGCGTGCTACAGCTTTAATCACTGTTAAGGGGAAACAAATTTCAAAGGTTAATGACTTCAGTTATGTCTAATCTGAAACCTGTTCGCTAACAATAGACGATAAATCTTAAAGAGAAATAGAAAAAAATTCTAGTCTCATCATCTCATTATTTATATTTAGCTAGAGCTTGACTTGATAGGTATCAATTTACAGTAAGGAATGTGTCAGCTGCGAATCAAAAAACGAAACACAAATGTCAATGATGTTTATATTTCAACTCTTCTCGTCTTTTTCGCTTTTCAGCATTTTATGCGAAGTAAATAAGAGATAGATAAAGAAGCTTTACATTGCGCCAGTGAAAAAAGAAAGCAATTTAGAACAGGGCACTAAAGGCATTAGATCATTCTTAAGAGTCAATTTGTTTTCATTTTTCTCTTCGGACTATAAAGTCTACATTTCTGTCACGTATCGTATGCAATCAGGAAACGAAGAGAAAAGAATGAATGAAGCTCATATGTGAAAAGTGTTTCCACTCAGTTCCAAAACGCTCCGTTTCGTATTTTTTTTCTGGCTTTTATTTCAAGTCATTTTTATCTTTTTTTAAGATTGTGTTATTTGGATAATCTGACGTGTGCTTGGGGAGCCAGTTAGAGCATCAATACTTTCTTGAAAAGCTGTTAAATTTTTAACGAGGGTGCTTTGAATCTTACATCTGTGCACAGCTGTGGTCATAAGAAATGTAGCAATGATGATGTTTTATGTTTTTAAGAAACACTTCTTTAGAATATCTGACTGCTTGTCTTAACGCATCTTAACCTTCTTTTCAAATTCTCAGCCAGATCCCTAGTGACTCATGTTATCATGCATGTGAATGAAAGCATCAAGGGAAATATTTACGTGAAACCGGAAGGGGGAGAAAGTGATATTTTTCATTTTAAGTGGTTGATGTTGGTAATTTATTCCATATTATAGTCACCGCCATGTTTTAAGATGGAAGGCATGTGATGTTGTTTTGGGCGAATCATATATCAACCCCAATTGTCTGTTTACAAATAATGTTTTTTTTTCTCTCAGACTTTCTCCCTTTTGCTATCTTTTTTTTTTCTACTAACTTATATGTGTATCTCGTGAACCCAAATTGGGCTGATAAATAACACGAGGTAGCGTTAAATTGCCAACTCTCATGTCAATGAAAATATTTATCATTCTCCTTATCTCTTCAGTGAAGTGAAGAAAATCAGAATTTCTTTAATGTTCATTTTTAACGACCTAAGCGACAAATTTCTGTTATTAACTGTTAAGAAAATTTCCACAAGCTTTTCTTTTTATTTTATTATTTTTATTTTTGTTGCTTTTATGACTTCTGGATATCTCGTGGCAAAGAAGCACAAACCACAAAAGGCAACGAGACTAAATTTATTCAGTTCACGTGTTGTCAAAAGTTGTGTGTCATGAATATCAAGGAAATAAATTGTTTTATTTATTCAAAGAAAGACTCACATTCCAAAACATTCTTGTGAATGAAAAGAAAGCAAAGAAATAACTTCAGTAGGAAGCGAAGCGAATGAAGATGTCTTGATGGAATGTTTTCTTCGTATGATAAGCAGCAAATAAACACTTCGCTCAAGTAAAAGAGTCGACAGTATAAATATCTCGTCGTTTATCGAATGCGTATCATTGACGCCTTTTAAAAATTACAATTTTATTTCACTCTTATAATAATGACATGTTCTGTAAACATTTCTTCTTTAAGTCTCTCAATCATCATTGAAATATTTGCGCGAGTATCAATCAATTTCAATGACAAAATTTTATTTGAATTCAAAGAAGTAAATCAAATTTTATTTTGAATATCTATATCTAAATATCTGGGAAATTGTTAGTTTTAATCAAGGTTTTAATGTTTTCTAGACTCAACTACATTTCTCTTTATTTTTGTTTGAGATGGGTAATAAACAAGCATATGAATAAATATGTATATGAAGTTAAAAGTGACACAAAAAAACGGTTTTTATTAAATTAAACTACAATGCTTTTATTGTAGCTTCCACCGAACCCGTATTCTTTTTTATGTTGTCGCTGAATGCAATTGTGTAATTTCAAAAATCTAGTAAAACAAAAAGTTAAAGCATAATACCAGCGTTGGTTCCAGGTCAGAAAGAACATGATGAAGGGTGAAGAAAAAAGAAGAATAATGAACCATCAGCGAATGAATAAAACTGTACAGAAACGTATTGTTGTTGTGTTTTTGCTTATCAAAGTCTAATTCCGCAGCTATAAAATAGAATTAATTAAAAAAGCATTGAGCTAGTTTTTCTTTATTTTTGCGAGTTTTGTTTTCGAGATAAAAGCTCTGTTTTTACTTAGTGTGGGAATTCAAAACGTTGAGCAACAAGTTTGTTCGCGGTTGATGCTATTGTGTTGACTAATACACCATGGTAACAATTCCTATAATGTGGTTAAAAGCAGTGCGATACTGTATACTTTTGAATGCGAAATAAAATTAATTAAAATTGAAATTCAAACTGATTCTGCAAGATTAACCGAAGCGCAAACTTTGAAAGCTATTCCTGTGAGTTGTTTTGCTGCATCATTTATGTGCATATGCAGTTGCATTAAAAAAGTGAAACTAGGGAATATCTGGGACAAAAAATCAAGTGGTCTACTTACCGATGGACGCAATGTTGTGTTTGTTCTGTAATAATCCGCCGCATTTAAGCTCTGCAAGTATTTTTTATTACCGTAAATCGAATCCATCGTTGCGAGAGTGAATATTTTCGCTTTCCTTTTTCAAACTTCCTGTTGAAGTGCTTATTACCAGTTTATTTATGATTTTTTTTCCTTTTTTTCTTCTGCACCACCGACAACCTAAAAGGCGCGCACATTGAAGCCAAGAACGCGTGGAGAGGAAATAAAACAGAAATTAGATTTACGATTTTTTTCCTTGCACATTCCAAGTCTTTTGGATTTTCCTGAATCTTTTAAATTTATTTATGACTCTCTTCTGTATCGCATTTTCCAAGACATTTTCGATTGTTTCTTCTTCTCATTTTTGCATCTGTTGATTTATTATATTCCACTTAAGAAAGAAAAACTTCTTATGTAAGCAGAGAAAGGGCAAACTCGAAAACAAACACAAGAATTTTCTGTGGGAAGAATTATGAGAAATTTAAAGGTGAATTCAATTGTATGAAAGCTTGAAACAAGTTTTTATAGAATCAAATGATTTGTCGGGCTTTCATTTTCTTTTTTTTTAATTTACATTCTAAATGCATTTTTGATGGATTTGTTAAAAGTTTTCTTTGGCATTTGAAAACAGAACTTTAATTGTTTGATGATTTGTTTTCATTGAAAACTTTGTTCTTATTTTTTCTTTTGATTTTCACAAGCGTGATCACAATAGTGCATATAACAAGTTGAAGAAAAACCGGAGCGAAACATTTATCATAAAAATGTTCATTGCAGCGAAAGAACTGTAATTAAACTATCATTTCAGCACTTTTTCCTATTTTTTTTTATATATTCACCGTTGCCCTCCAAATAACTATTTATTCACCTTTACTTTCAGCTTAGGGCCACTGCAATTATATTCTACGGGTTTTTAATACAATTTTATGAAGTGGGTGATTGTAGTTCTCTAAAACATACAATTTAATTGGTTCATCATCATCAATTGCGGTTATTTGACCAAAGGGGATTGTTACAAACACTTCATCTGTTCAAAGTGATTAAACACTTTCAGTACTTATTTTCATCTCTCCCTCTCTGTCGTTCTCTCTCTCTCACTGTTTTAATTCCTTTTTATCATTTCATTTCGAAACTTATGTATTCCATTTAATTTTTTTTTTATTTATCAAAAGGCTACCGACGGTAGCCTACCGTAAACCCGTTGTATTAAAAACAAAAATTATGTTTTAATGTTACCAAAAAAACCGCGAACAACTTTTCATATTGCGTCCCGCTTTTGTTTTAAATCAAACTTATACTTTGTGTGCGTTCCAGATTTTGGCTTCGTGGTTTGTTAAATGAATTAGTTTTTTATGTATGTATGTAAGTATTTATATATGAAAGTAGTTATGTGAAGATAGATTGAGTTATTGCAATTTTATATTTCTAGATAACAATCTTCATCTTAATTCAATGTATTAAGTGGTTTTTAATGATTGAAGTATCCTAACTCACGATAGTAACATCAGATATACAGTTTTACTTCAAAATGAATGTTAGTTAACAGTTTGAGTTAGTTAAGTTGGCAAATAATCTATTTATCAATCAAAAAATAATTCATTTCTCACTAACAAGTTGATATGAATTTCAATGAATTTTGATTTTGTTTTTCATCAAAACATCTAGATGTTTAAATACTATTTTCTATTTTCCCGCATACTGAGATACTCAGATTATTGTCTTAATTACGCTTCAGTTCGTCTAGCTATAGATGGAAATCTAAACAAACGAGAAAATCTTGTTTTAGAATGCATATGAGCATCATCTGAACGAGAGTGAAGGAAGAAGTTGTGGAAATGACATGACGGAAAAAGTGAGTACTTAAATAGCAAAGCTATATGTGAAGCAGCTCATGCAGAAAGACATGAGGAATAAGAATGTTGAGAAAAAGAAAACAATTAAGGTCTATTATCGTGCATGCAAAGGCAACGATAAAGATGGGAACATGTTCTTCTTCTAAAGTTTTAAACTTATTTTCTTCGTCTTCTTGTCTTCATTCAAAGCCATTTAAGTTTCGTGTTCTCCCTCGTTCTTCTTCTGTTGTTTTTTTAATGTTTTCTTTTCTTTCTTCGGTATCGTTTCAGTAGATATAATATACAAGTCTACGTTCAATGAAATTAGTTTAGGCTTTTTCTTTCTCTCGTATTCGACGTATAACAACCACACTGATGCTTGACCTCCATTGGCAATGAACTTGATTCCCATTTTATTAAAAAAAAATTTCACTAAAAAGCGAGGGCAAATAAGTACAAAAGTGATTTAATCCTTTGTCGTTTTTAATTATGCCATGGGATGGATTAATAATTCATTAAAACGAAAATAATGTTCTTGGGTTTGGGACCATGGTTACAGTTAATGCAAAAGTTTGTCTAATTAATTAAAGAAAATTAAAGAAAGTGAAAAAGGAAAGAAGTAAAAATTCTCTTTCAATATTTTTTATAAGTAAAGTCAAAGAAGAACATTTAAGTTAGCCGGAAAATTTCTAATGGGAAAAAAATTGACGGGATTTAATTTATTGAGGTGGAAGAGAACTGTCCTATGATCAAAGAAACTTTAAGTCATTTTGTTTTATGTTCGTAACATTTCGCTCCGGTAATAATGATTAGAGTGAGTCATAGTTATGATTGAAGGATTGTAATTAAACTTTTGCGGATGAAGTTTGATATTGATTTTATTCTTTCTCCATCAGGAGCCTTTCCACGAGAGAAATATTATATAATTAACGGCTGCTCATTATATTTATGACAAATGTCTCGTTTTTATTAATCATCATGTAGAATATGAGAGAAAACTTTTCCAATAATCACCACTTATTATCTGGAGATGACTCTAATCACTGCTAAAACTTTTTGCATCCAAATGGTTTTTCCATGCTTTTCTATTTCTTTCTGCCAACTCTAAAAGTTGAAATAATATTTTTTTCTTCTTTTTTTACTATTCTTTGAGCGATAAACTTATCGCTTGAAAACACTCATATCACAGCACAACACTTTATATTATCAGATTTGGATCCTCTTCTTTCTACGAATATAATTCAAACGAAATCAAACTTTCTGCAGCTATGAAAATATTTCCTACTGTGCTAATATTTGAAAAATTTCCAGTTCATTTGGTTTCCATCAATTCGCCCACAGGCTATTTTTTTTCTTCAATCCAACTTTACCCTTTTGAGGAAAAACTTTTCTCCCAAAGATATTCTTGTATAAGTTCTACTGATGGGAATTTTCAATTGCGAATTTTAATAAAGGATTTTCAATAAATTCTTTTCACTTCACTTCCGAAATTCCAAATAGATTACGAAGAGTCTCGCCTCAACATCAAGAAGCTTAAAATGAGAATAAACTTAGAAGAAGCAAATAACTTTTCTTTCAGCTCCAGCTGAAGAAGTTAAAAGGGTTTGTCGATAAATGATGTAAATGAGAGTTTTATATAAAACTCCAGTTTAATCATAAGCAATTCACGTGATTTTTGACCGTGCCACTTCTTCAACACTCTTTATTTGCTCTCTTTCTCTCTTTGACTTTCTTTCTTTCGCTGTGCCTGTTGTATAGATAAAAAAGTATTCAATATTAAAGAAACAGTTTTCTCTTGTTGTCGTTGGAATAGTGTGATTGTACGTAACCACAAAGAAGTTTCATGTGGAATGAAAGAATTTGAATTGCTCAACTGTCTACGTGACGACTTTAACACATCTTCATCTTCTAAGATAATGAAGAACAAACATGAAGAGAAAAAATCTTATAGGAACAGGTGCATAATGTGAACTTAAGATGTGCATTTAAAGCACGTCTGGTTGATTTTTGTTCATTGTGTCGGAAATTAACATTGCTTCTTGTTCTTGCCAATTTCATCATGTTTTCACTCAACTAATTGCATCAAATGAACAACATTTTAACATTAAACATCAGGGATTGGAAGAAAAATTTGATTTCAAACTAGAACTGTTGCAAGAATAACTTTAATCCCTGCTGCTTCGAAACATTTAAAGCCATCTTAATAGTGAATACTTGTGTTGAAACTTTAATGTCGTTTAACTGAAAAGACGTGTTCATCTTTCAAATTTATATGCAATTGCTTGAGAGATTAAACATTTAAGTATGACAGTCAGAATGTCGTATTTTATGATATCAGATTTAGTGAAGAACAAAGAAGTTTCTTTATCAACTCTCACACGAATGCGAGATTAAATTACTGAACCATTAAGCTGAAATTAAATTTCCCACCCCATGATTTTTTATCGCCGAAGCTTCATCAGCGTGGAAAATTTTTCTGAATAAATATTCTACTTAGTGATTTCTTATCTCTTCCGAACGTTAGACTCACTGGACTGCGTCACAATGTTAGAAATTTCAATTAAAAATCAGTGACTCAAATAGAACAATTAACGAGAAGTTGTTTGGAATCCAATAAATCAATAGATTGCTTCTGAAAATGAAAATTCTTTAGAAGAATCGTAAAGAATTTATTTTCTCAAGTGCAATAAACTCGAAATGTTTCCATATATATGTAACTCCATGTATCAAATAAAAGTTTCTTGCCTTATAATGAAATACCGTAGAAGAAAAATTCTCAATTCAAAGCCCTGATTAAGAAGTGTTGAAGTTTTATACAACAAAGTTTCATTTTTTTCTTTTCTTTTTCGCTTTTACGATTCTTTTTCTTCTTTTGAAGAGTAAGAATCACCACAAAAAGTTATCTCAATAACATCTAACTAGTGTTATGTCTCATCATGATTTCCCCTTTCTTCGCTTATACAAACTTGATTCTTTAATCTTTTCAAATATCTAACAACTCTAACTAGTGTTATGTCTCATCATGATTTCCCCTTTCTTCGCTTATACAAACTTGATTCTTTAATCTTTTCAAATATCTAACAACTCAAAAGAAGTTTGCGTGTTACCGTAATGTTTTTTCTAACCATAAAGAATGCGTCTTAAGTATGTTGATAAAACTTTTCCAAAAACATGACAACAAATTAAGAGATCGATGAAACAATGACGAAGGACTAGTGGCAATCTTTATGTTGATTTAACAACGATTGCTTCTGTGGTTTCCCACTACCGCTCATTTTTCATTTACGACAAAGGAGTTGTTGAACACAAGGTTGAACACGCAATGTTGTAAAATGATTTTTTTTCTGTATGTCAAACTCATGCTGGGTGAGGAATAGACTCAGTCGATTTGTCCTTGTTTATCCTAGCTAATAACGAACGTTACAAGCTGGCTGTGCTTATTGCGAGTTGGGCTTTAAATATTTTGAGCAGCTTAGCACAGTTAAAATTACAGAAGAAAAATCTCAACTCAGCTCAAATTGGAACAAATCGTTGTTGATGTGCAAAATATTCACGCTTCAATATTCATCCATTAAAGCAAAAAAATGAAAGAAAAAACTTCATATAAGATTATTTGTTTTCTACATCACATCGTTCGGAGGTTTGGCGAACCTTCCAGCGAATAAATAACAAAAGAATTAGGACAAAAAACATACACTGGAACTTGTTGTTATCGAGTATCTGCATGAGAACTTTTAACGCCCACTGCTCTTATAGATTTTTATTACGACACTCATCAGAATTTCAACAGTGTTAAAAGAAACGGGAACGTAAACAACAAGAAGATTCAATTTGAAATTGAAAACAGAACAAAATAAATCAAATTTATATTTTTTTTTCAACTTCGATTGAAAACGAGAAAGAATCGAAACGATGCAAAAGTATTTTTGTGGGGCAAATCATGCCATATTGAGACCCGAATCACAATAAAATTGAACCAAATGCTCGTCGTTTGACGGTTGCTTTTGTTATTGTTTATGAATTATGTGGAAATGGAAGCAACGGAATTTAGAAAAAATATATTCAGAGAGTCGATCACAGCGGTTGGATTGAAAAGAAAACCTCATCTCATTTTAGAAGAAAAACAAATAAAAAAATGTGAAACTTCTGCTGAATAAACAGTTTTGGATCACGAAATTTCTCTTCATCAACAACTTATTCATTAGATGAATTATAGTCGCAGGAATAGTTTCAGGGCATCTTCAAATTCAAATTAATTCAACATAATCCAAATTAAATGCTTTGCTAAAATTAATTTTCTTCATGAAATGATTTAATCAAGTAGAACAATAACAATAGTCTGAAAATTTCATAATCTCCATTTTGATGACTTCAAATATATCTATATAGATAGATAATATTAAGCCGCTTTCTATACATTTGTGCAAGCTGGATAATGTAATAAGAATATCGGCAACATCTTGTTCCGATATGGCAGATGAAAATCTGATGTTGTTTTGAGAGCAATTCCAAATCTTAATAACTATAATCTCATCTTTGATTATGATTTCATCTGCAATATTTATTGAGAAAATTTCAATATATTTAAATATCACATGAAATTTCATATTTCAAAACACTTAGCACATTTCTCACTCTGGTAATGCTAATATCTAATAACATAATTCGAGAAAATGCTTATTCAAGATGCTTTTGTTAGAATTTCTGGATTAAAACAAAGGATTTAATTTTATTCTCTTAATGCATATTTCAGAAAAAGCTTTTAACAGAATCTGATACTATCAGTATCAAAAACCTCTAAATATTTTAACAATATTATGTACATTTCCTAGACTATAAAATGATGATATCAAAATTTCTCGCTGAGAATCANAGCACCAGCCTTTCTAAAGCTTTAATCTTAATTTCTGATTTGAATTTTTAAATTAAATTTAGTATTTTTTAATTCGATAATTTAAATTTATTAGCACAATGGATATCAATGAACATCTTCAAGAAGAAGAAGAAGAAGAAGACGAAGAAGTAGAGGAGGAAGAAGAAGAAGAAGAAGAAGAAGAAGAGCAAACTTATAGAAATTTAAATAAGAAACGAGGAAAATATTTTCAAACATATACAGAAAATGATTTGAAACAGGCGATTAAAAAAATTTCAAAAGATAAAGTCAGCATCACTGAAGCAGCAAATCTTTTTTCAATTCCTCGGAAAACGGTGTGGAATCGATTGAAAGGCATCTGTTCATCTCGTCATGGAATGCCAACGGTTCTCACAAAAGAGACTGAAAACGATTTGGCAGAATGGATCCTCGATTGCTCCTCAAAAGGTGATCCTCGCACCAAGCATCAAATTTTAAAAGCAGCTGAGCAATTGTCTCGTTTGGAGAATGAAAACACAAGTGGATTTAGAAATGGAACGCCTTCGTATAAATGGCTTCGAGGTTTCTTGAAACGTCATCCAAACATTTCACGACGAACACCATCGAAGATATCTCGTGCATCTGGTTGTGTGTCTGGGAACGACATCACCAAATTCTTAAGAGATACTCGGGATTGGTTGATAGAAAAATTAGGTAAATATTTGTGGTTCCCCTTAAATCGAATTACTATCAAAGATTGCCTCGATTAACTGATAACCTTGATAAACTGATTCTTCTTGAGCCATCTGTTTATCGAAGTTCCACTGTTCTATCCAAAAAACAAACGCTGAAAATTAAATCATTAAAATAAATAAAATTTTATTTCATTCTAATTCATAGGTGAAGACAATTATATTGCATTGGCAAACGATCCCTTGTCTTGGGGCAACTGCGACGAAACAGGCTTTGATCTCAATCCATCTGGATCTGTGTATGCAAGAAAGGGTGGGAAAAGTGTTTACCAAATCGAGACAGCAAAACCCAAGGAACGCATAAGCGTTATGTATACATTTTTAGCATCTGGAGATGTTCTAAGACCGCAGCTAATACTTAAAAACTCAATCAGTAGAATCACTGATATTGCAATGGCCGCTGGAGGTACATGTCCACTATTGTAGTGCTTCATTGTAGTGCTTATGCCTCCAAATGATGCTTCGAAAATCACTAATGCTTTTCAAGAAAAATGGCCTTTTTTGTTTAATGTCTAATTTTTTTAAATTTTTCTTTACAGAAGTGGGAGCTAATTATATAATCAGCCAGACGGAAAAGGGTTGGCAAACCCAAGAATCATTCTTTGAATATGTCACACAGGTGTTGGTTGGAGAACTGGATCAGTTGGGCGTTACTCGAACTGCTGAACATCCATTTATTTTCTTTTTTGATGGTCATAAAAGCCATATTTCTTTAAACCTTTTTAAATGGTGTAAAGATAACAACATCGTCCCAATTGCTTTCTATCCAAACTCTACGCATATTTTGCAGATGGCAGATGTAAAGATGTTCGGACCGGGGAAAAGTGCGTGGAAGAAAGAGGTTCAAATATGGAAAGGAGAACATCAAAATCGAGAGCTCACTGAAGTAGACTTTGTTAAAATTTTGAAAAAGGTCACCGACAAAGTTATGATTCCTGAAACAATACGCAAAGGTTTCAATGAGACTGGTGTTTTCCCATTAGACCCAACAAAAGCTCGTGTTGAGAGATGCGTTGGAATTACTCGTGATAGAGGTAAGACTTTTGTTCCGATATGGCAGATGAAAATCTGTTGTGGTTTTGAGAGCAATTCCAAATCTTAATAACTATAATCTCATCTTTGATTATGATTTCATCTGCAATATTTATTGAGAAAATTTCAATATATTTAAATATCACATGAAATTTCATATTTCAAAACACTTAGCACATTTCTCACTCTGGTAATGCTAATATCTAATAACATAATTCGAGAAAATGCTTATTCAAGATGCTTTTGTTAGAATTTCTGGATTAAAACAAAGGATTTAATTTTATTCTCTTAATGCATATTTCAGAAAAAGCTTTTAACAGAATCTGATACTATCAGTATCAAAAACCTCTAAATATTTTAACAATATTATGTACATTTCCTAGACTATAAAATGATGATATCAAAATTTCTCGCTGAGAATCATTATTGATAACTACTTACTTAATCTTATTTGTTACGAGATTGAACATCAATTTCCAATTTAATGTATGTAAGCTTGTTTCGTTTCCCGCTTCCAGATCAAAATATGCTTCGCTGATTTTCATCTCATGAATTTTATACCATACATAAGTGCCATCTGTTACACTCGAAGCATAAGTGTGTGTGTGTATGTGTGTATATATGTTATTCATTTATCCACTTTATATTTTCATCGAGAAGCATTTAAGAATCTTTGCTGCTGCCGCATTAAGCCATGAACCATAAATTTTCGGAAATTAATTTACTTGCTTAGCGATTAAGCTTTTGCAGTATAAAACAGAGATTGGTATTGAAATTAATTACAAATTTGTTCCACTATACCCCCTTTCATATGCATGCCGGTTCATTTTATTTCATTTGTAGTTAACATTTAAAAGTTTTTATTTGATAAAAGGTTTGATTGAAGCTCCAATCTCTGGTTTAAATTCATTATATGAAGCATCATATTATGTTTGGATCGAATCTGAAACGATCTTCTGTAGTAATGTAGCATCTAACAAACTTAATTAAATTGCAAGCACAAGAAATGATTTTAACGTCAGCATCCATACGAGTAAATAATCTACCGCTTTGACATTATTTTATTAAGCTCAGTATTTCCCGTAATTTTTTATCTACATTAACTTTCAACAAACCTGAGAAGGTTTACAAATGTGGTTAGCTTTCTACAATGCTTATAAATAGTTTCTCTCGTTGGTGAAAGGAGTAACTGAGGGCAAAAAAAAAAGAATTCAATTTAGAGCTTTCCACTCGTGATGAGATTTGTAGAGCTTATTTACTTTGCTGCTATTTTTGTTTGAAAATTCCTTTTCTCTCTACGATATTGTTGAAAGTAGAAAATTCTGTACGATTGGCATGATGAGTTATCATTTCAAACATACCTTCCACTGCTATTTCATTTCCAAGAGATTTAAAAAAGGAGCTTAAAGGAAAGTTTCATATTGTATTTTTAAATAAACGCCACATTTTGTAGTAAAANAATAAAGGTCACGTCATCATCATATATTTAAAAATGGCTTAAGAATTAAAGAGATTGTCACAAATATTCAGATGTTGACAAAGCAGAACGGATGAAATTCATTTTTGAAACTGTTTTGAAACACCAATTTTGCATTATGAATATTTTATGAAATGCCATTCGATAAAAAAAATATTCGCGCATCATAATAATTTAATGAAATCGACAGTGAGGTTTTTTTTGTATATATACAACATCGGAAATTTTTTAAACAGGGGAAAAAGGAAAACGAATTTAAATATTACAAATATTCATCTATTACATTCGTATGGAGGAATTATGACACATTATAACACATTGCAGCGTATGATACATAAATTAAGCTTAATGTTGTTTTCGTTAATTCATCACAAAATGTTTGCATTAGCACACAGGAAAAAAGAAAATATTTGGACATGTCAGAGTGGAAAAAAAGTAGAGTTCGCCCATATTCGCATATTATGCGAATATGGAATATTTGTGCGAATATTATGCATTTTCGTATTCGCATATGCGAATACGCAAGAAAAAATTTGTATGAAAAATGATCAAAATTTATTTTTCACTTTTTACGCATTTTTGGCTTTAAATTGGGTCAGTTGAATCATCTAAGCTAATCTTTTGTTGCAAAGTCTTGTTTCACTTTATATCTTAGTGGATTTATACAATAAAAGAAGTATATTGATAATATTTACTGTTTTCATTTTTTCATAAGGTTACTTTTCTTATCATTTCAACTTATTTATTTGCATTTTTTTCGATGGAAATTACACGAATCAAGTTTAAAAATCAATACGGTCTAAGTTCCAAAAGCTTCTGTAATGTGGCTTAAGGTCGAAAAAGGAGATATTGACGGTTCATTCACAAAAGAGCATTTTAAATATTGTTCTGAAATTCTTACCCACAAAGCCATGTTGCTAAGCAACTAGTGGATTAAAAATGATTTTTATAATTAAAAATTACAAAAAGTCTTTGTTTTTGCAGTCAAATGGAAGTTCAAAGTTAAGAAAAATTCTTTTTCCATTTGACCATAACAATAACAATCGCCAGAAAACCTAAAATATCTTGAAAAAGCTTGAAATGAAGATTAGTTTCTCATATTCGCATATGCGCACATGAAAATGCATAAATTTGAATAAATGTGCAAAAATGTGCATGTGCAGCATAATGCATATGCATACGTCAAACACTAGTTTAAATTCATTATATGAAGCATCATATTATGTTTGGATCGAATCTGAAACGATCTTCTGTAGTAATGTAGCATCTAACAAACTTAATTAAATTGCAAGCACAAGAAATGATTTTAACGTCAGCATCCATACGAGTAAATAATCTACCGCTTTGACATTATTTTATTAAGCTCAGTATTTCCCGTAATTTTTTATCTACATTAACTTTCAACAAACCTGAGAAGGTTTACAAATGTGGTTAGCTTTCTACAATGCTTATAAATAGTTTCTCTCGTTGGTGAAAGGAGTAACTGAGGGCAAAAAAAAAAGAATTCAATTTAGAGCTTTCCACTCGTGATGAGATTTGTAGAGCTTATTTACTTTGCTGCTATTTTTGTTTGAAAATTCCTTTTCTCTCTACGATATTGTTGAAAGTAGAAAATTCTGTACGATTGGCATGATGAGTTATCATTTCAAACATACCTTCCACTGCTATTTCATTTCCAAGAGATTTAAAAAAGGAGCTTAAAGGAAAGTTTCATATTGTATTTTTAAATAAACGCCACATTTTGTAGTAAAATATTTTTAAAAATAAAGTTTTCTACACAGTTTTGTAGACAACATTTACCACTGAGTTACTTTCAGAAATTTTATTTATAAGATCTAAGGTTACAGAAACTATTAAAGAGTATTTTATATTTTCATATCACTCTGGTCAACCACAATCATTCTGTTACATTCAGTTGACGAAAAGTTTGTTGGCGAATGAATTGAAAAGCTACGTATGTACATTAAAATAACATATTGTGGGCTTGATTTATTTGAAAACTATTAAACTTTGCTCTTTAAAAATTCTCACCACGTTTTTGAAATATATCTAGTTTAATAAGTTAACTCAAGTAGATAAGCTTTTGTGACAATTTTTTCTTATTGTCTAAATAAGAGAATGAAAGGTCACGTAAAATGATCGTTTGTGTTGTCTTCCTGTTTAAGTTGATACTTGTAGTAGATGCGGTCAAATGTTATTATTTTAATTCTCATCAAACATTATTGAACGTTGTACCATTTGCATGCTTCTTTAATGTCTTCTTTCTACCTGACTGATGATATTACTAATTGCTGGTTAGATTTTCCTTCCGACGACAACACTTTAAAAACCTACATAAGAATTTACATTGTATTTAAAGCTTCCAAAAGCGGATAGAAAAAATGGAACCAACACTTAATTACACATTCATTGGATTTCACGTCTACAAGCCTTCAACCCTAATTAAATTAATTTCAGTGAATAAAAACTTTGAAAAAGGATTTCGAGTTGAAACTTTTTACAATATCTATTTAAATAAGAAGGTATTCAAGAAAAGGTCTGGAATTTGCGTTTCTTTCAGATTAAAAAAGTTTCCTTTCATCCACTAGCGTCTTTAAATATTTTCCAGTTGGATAATAAGGAAATGTGAAAAACTTTAAAATCTCAATTTGCAAGTCTTCATAAGACTCAAAGCTCTTCACTGAAACTTCTCGTTTTCTACTCTTTTCGTGACTTCAAGAAACGCAGATGAGCAGCAAAAGCAGTCGAGAATAATATTTTTGCTCGTAAATAAAATTTTCTCTTTTATTACACGAGAAATATTGCAATAAATTTTGATGGAGCACAAATAAAATGTCTAAAGAAGAAAATTTTCAATTCTTAAGTCCGTGTAGGAAGAACGAAGATTTCTTTGCTCATCACGGTCCTTTGTATCCACCCACAAAACCATTTGAAACGAAAACATCGAAGGCATCTTGAATATGAAATGAAGCAAAAAAATGTTGGGGCGGTGAGTGATTTTTCTTTTTCTCTCAGCTTATCTCATACATTTGATTTTTGTTTTATTGGCAAATTTTTTTTCTGTCTTTAGTGAATTCAATTTTCGATTGTTGATCTAAATGTCGAAGGACTTAAGGGATTATTTAGATATATCTGAAAGCGAAAGATTAGAAAAACAAGAAACATTTTAATCATCAAATTTAATATATTTTGTAAATTTTTCATTATAAATTGACAGAAAAAAAAACTTAAAGTTATTAATTATATCTAGCGCTGAGCATTTATCGTCGATTCTTGGATCTTGGAACAGACCACAGATCCAAAGACTTCCGCGTCTCTAGACAGTTTAAAAATTGAAAACGTATAGAATTTGTATGTTTTCTAAAAAATTGTAAAAAAGCTGGAGAGAAGTGACTTTCGAGTTACGGATTGTCGATCCAAAGTTTTTAATATCGTTCAGCTATGTTAATATCTTTGTTATCGAGTAGAGAAATAATTGATCGCTTTCACAATGAGAGACGAAATTTATTGCGGTATCTTATCAATTGCATCCATTGCAAATTGGAAACCATAAGATGCTGCTTGAAACCATTTATTATTTGCAAGTGATGATAAATAAGTTCGTCCTGATTCTATCGATGTCTCGTCTTCAACATCAACAGTGTCATCTGAGATTTCTTGACCATCAGCTGATCGACTCATATAGTCAACATAATTGTAATCTGTTGTCCATGGATTGACTTTATTATAGTAATATGCAGCTACACATGAATAAAGAACAAGAGCAAAAGTGTAAAGCTGAAATAAGGAAAAAAAATGATTTATGTAAAAGTGAGTCTCAAACAAATATGTAATAAAAACTGGAATTAAAATTTTACAGATAGAAGAATTTTTTTTTCCATTTCTCTAATTGAATTAGAAACTTTATGAGCTATTTCCACAATAGCAAATTGAAAAGCAAATAGGGAAGGAAACTTCATGAACCAAAACCATAACGAGATAAGTGAGTTCATTAAATCCATCTGCATTTCAATTTGATTTTCAACATAATAAATTTACATTTTTATTCAACAACAAAATCCCTGCAAATCTACTATTTATGTCTGTGCTCGTTAGAGAAGCTAACTAATTCAACTTGTTTATTCTCATTCTCTCACTTTATTGTTAAAAAAATGAAGCAAAAGATCGTTTCAAGTGGATTAGGTATGTACATAGAATCTACTCTCTTCTTACCTGGAATATAATCCAAAATTTGTATGAGCCTTCTTTAACTACAAAATCAAAATAACCATTGAGTGGATCGCCCTTAGTGTAGAATATTCGACCCTCTTCCAAAGCTCGCTCCGTTGTGGTGTTCGTTTGTGCTTTTGCAAGTTTATTTTTATTTTTAAATTTGTATGTGTTTTATTCAGCCACGATGAACAGGAATCGCGAAAAAAAGAATCAAAGAAAAACATAATAAGAAATGGAAGCAAGAAATAAAACTTTTACAATAAACGAAATAAATGCAGCGAATGGAATAGCAGCAAATGGTATAAATGAAATACGTGTAGCATAAATTTCAGTATAAGAATCAGTTTATGTAATCTTTCGTTCAGTATATCGCATATATTTGATTTCTATTTGAACTATTATCAAGTTTCTTTTTTCAGTGAATTTAGTTTTCGATTATTTGATTTAATAAATATCCGCGAATTCATTCTTCAGAACAAACGAAATTATTGTGTGAGATATTCCTTCACATCAACTCTTGCACTTGACAATTTATTGACTATTTATTTAAATTAATGCCAAATTAATTCTCCATTTTTAATATCTGAAAATGATTTAAAAAACTACAACGATAAATTCAAATCATTAGATTTCATTTATTTCCAATATTTTCAGTTTAAACTGACAGAAAGGAAAATTTTGAGTAATTATTAGACTTCATAGATGGATCTTACTGCAAAACAGAAAAATAATTTAAACTTCACGAAAGTCATTGCGGTATCTTATCAATTGCATCCATTGCAAATTGGAACCCATAAGATGCTGCTTGAAACCATTTATTATTTGCAAGTGATGATAAATAAGTTCGTCCTGGTTCTATCGATGTCTCAACATCGTCTTCAACATCAGCAGTGTCATCAGACATCGATCTACCATTAAATGATCGACTCAGATACTCAACATAATCGTAGTCTGATGTCAGTGGATTAACTTTGGAATAGTAGATTGCGGCTAAACATGAATAAATTAAAAGTGCTGCTGTTCCAAGCTGAAATGGTAAGAAATTGGAAAAAATTTCGCTTACTCTCGATCTCTCTTTCCATTGCCAGTTATATGAAGAAAATTCTAATTAAATCGATTCTTACCTGGAAAATAACCCAAAATTTATAAGAGCCTTCGGTAATTACAAAATCATAATAACCGTTGAGTGGATCGCCCTTAATGTAAGATTGTCGACCCTCTTCCAAGGCTCGTTCCGTTGTGGCATTTGTTTGTGCTTTTGTGCAACAGCAACCAAAAAAAGAATAAAAGGAAACATAATAACAGAAACTATAGCAGAAAATTGTTAGTGCGATAATTATCTTGTTAATCGTATTATTAAAACTTTTTTCTATGTAGAATTTCGCTTCAATTCCACTTCAATTCACTTTCACCTTATTATTGCATCAACACAACTGATCTTTGTTTTTGCTTCTATTATTAACATTTGATCTGCCAATTTAAATAATTTTTGTTTTTAAATTTTCGCGAATTTAGTAGATACGATGGATTATCATCCATGGGGATGAGGTCTCCGTGAAAGATGAAAAGTTTTATAATAAAGGTAATAAAAACAGCGTGGAATAGTAGCGAAAGGTAGAAATAAAATACGTGTAGATTTAATTTTAGTATAAGAACCAGATGATGTAAAGTGGAACGCGAACATGAATTATATCTCTTTGAATGTTTCACTCTACCCAGATTTTGTACAAAATGGCATAACTCATGCTTACCCTCGTACGTATGTCATTAAAAAAGGAGAAAAATTTTGAGTTCGTTATGGAACAGTGGAAGCACTTGAAAGTATATTGTTATGTAAGGAAAGTTCTTTGCAACTCGACTCATTAAAATGTGTACAATGTTTACAGTAAAGCTCATGTGATATAAGTACATATTGTCAAAAATAAAAGTTTCAATGTGAGTTTAATGAGATTCATCTAACATGAAAATATTTAAATAAATATGCGGCAGATATATTTACATTGAAATTAATTTTCACTTCACACCTGCTTCTATAACTTTACCAATGTCTTTAACAAACTTCTACAAATTTTCGCTACTGAACCGCAAAATCTTAAACCTATATATTCCAAATTGTATGATACTAAAAACAAACATCTACCACCTGAGGAATATATGTGAATGTAAACGATTGCATGACATAAATTGCTTCCATCTTTAAAGTTGAAGACAAAAAAAAATTAAAAAACATTTTTCGTTTTGCTCAAATGTTTTAAATTTTATTTCCGCTTTTTCACGACGAGAAACAAGCGAGATATAAAAAAAGAAAGAAAAAAGCTCTTGAATGTTCTGTTATTCTGAGTGGAAAAGTTTCATTTCAACCCAATACGATTCTTCAACAACAAGAATAGTCATACCACAATGAAATAAATGCTTTACAAACAGCAAATGAAACAAAGTTGAGAAAATAAAAAAAAGATATGTTCATTGTTCCATTCAAAAGTGCACTTGAAAGTAGAAAAGTTCCCTTTATACAACATTGTATATAGAAATTAATTGCATAGTTTTGTCCCGTTGTTGTTTTACAAATTTATAGAGCGGGAAAAAAGGAATCGAATCTGTTGTCAACAACACTTGGTAAAGTTCTCTCGTATCTTAAGATTTAAAATGATTAAACAAAGAGACAAAATTAAATTATGTTTCCCACTAAAGTGGCTACTAAAGCTTCACTGTAACCGTTTGATAATCCCTCGACAACCATTGCCGTATGCTTAACCCAATCTCAAAGCATTAAATCAATTAGTCACGTTTCTAATCATTGCAATATGAAGTCGTTGAAAGTAGGAAAAGTCAATAGCATAAGTGTCACACTCGACTTCAACAGTTTCATGAAGCGACAATCTTTCTCTCTCGTTCACTATTCGAACTTACTAACCGACAAATGATTCACTGGAAAATTTTATTACGACAAAACGTAAATTATTAGTGTTAAAATGAATTATTGCCGACTTAAGTGTTTTTAATGTAGTTCTCCATCTCCTTTTATACACAACCAGCAAAAGGCATAGAACATAAATTTCCGTCTCGAAATGCGGTAAAACGATTTACCTCAATGCAGATGAAAATCCCGGTGCTTCTGAGATTACGTAATTTTCTTGGATATTTTTCCTTTTACTTCTTGTGGTAGCGACGTGGTTGGATTCAATATCAAGAAAAGGAGGGAAAATGAAAAAAAAAATAAAAGAATAAAAGAAAAAGTTTTCGTTTTGCGACAACTTCCTTTTTCTTTGATTCGACATAAATTCACAATCAGCTTTCCATCGTTTGCTTCAAATTATGGTTGGTGCTTTGTCGTTTTCACTCTTGACGACGAATAAAATTAATTGCTAAATTTATCGGCACTCGAATAGAATTGGAAAATTATCGTTCAAAGCGATTTTTCCAATCTCGCTCTTCTAGTTTGGAACAAAAGGAACGTTAGGGTATGTCAATGTATGATGTTAAAAAAGAAAGTGGAAGTTAGAAGTTTAATGAAAGTATTACAACTTAGCGTAATTGTCACTTTCAAAGTTTTAGAAGTAAAATATCTACCCAGGGTGGTTAACGCTACAAAGCACAGTTAATACTCCAAAAAAGTGAATAAATAAGTTGTCGATGAAAGTATTTAGTTTGAAACGTTAACCATCCCTAACATTATTGCCATGATTTTTTTTTGTTTTATATTTTCAAAGTGTCATGCTATCTAATTAAATAAATCTAGTTAGGTGCGGGCAGATCAGATGCGACCAGAAGTAAAGTGAAACTAAAACTAATCATAAAGTTTTATAGATTTCAGATAACGCAATGCTTGCCCAATGCTTTTGGTATCTAACAATAGGACAAACAATAAATTCAAAAGAAAATTGGAAAATTATCGCATGTGGTTTCATGATGCTGTCCTGGATGTGACAAAGAAAAAAGAAAATTTCGGCATATCTAGAAAAATTATTCTTCATGTCATCATCCTTAATTAGATTTATGGTTCGAGAAGCGATAAAAACGAAAAGGAAATTCCATCCAATGACAAAGAAGAGAAAACGGAAGAATTCATCTCTTGGGGCAACAATCGATTTTAATTCACCGGAAAATTGAACTTTCTCAAAATGAAATCAAATTCAACGCGATTATCCCTCAGAATCGACAACCGATAAAATCGCTCTTAATTTTGATGGCGTGATAGCGTCGCTTCGCTTCGCTTCGCTTCGCTATCCCTCAATTATCCTTTTCCTTAACTTTTTGCGCGATTTTAATTTCGTGTTTAATTGAAAGCTCGAATACTTTTCTCATCTCGCAAACAGATTTTCTTGTGTTCACCCTTTTTTTTCCTTATTCATTGCTTTGTTTGATGAAACAAACAAAGGGTTGGGGCGAAAGTCTCAAACTTTACCCTTTCTCACACTTAAATGAACACTTTCGCAGTCAGTTGACGAAGCAACATTTCCCATACCTTTAAGATTGACTTTTACAACATCAGCAAAATCAACAAAGGCGCTTTTCATCTTGAATTCATTATTGGATCAGATGAGACATGACAATCAAAACGAGCTTACAAAAAGCGATTGAAATAAAAGTTATAATATCAAAAATGAAGAAGACACACGATAACTGAGTGAGTTAGAGAAAACTTGGCCAAAAGAATGTGAAAAATGAGCTTTCGTTGCGCCGAAATAAAAACTTTCACGACAAGTCTTTATGATACGGAGGAAAACTTTTTCCTAACCTTTTCCATCATTTTTCTTCTGATTTTGATACACTAATCTTCAACATTACAGATAAATCACTAGCGAAAATTGTTTAAATATTTTTCTTCCTTTTTCCTTCGTCTTCTCCTTTCTGTTAATCTAAAGGTAAAAAATTCACATCGCAATTTAGAAGGAAAACATTCATGTTCACCAGCCGTAAAAAATTACGTTTTCTTTGACTTTATTATTATGATTCTTTTATTTCTTCTTGTAAATATTCCAGCGGTAATTCGATAAGCATCGAAGCCCAAAAAAAAGCAGAAAAAGTCGAGTACAATTTTTACTGTTTACATTTGCGATGGCAGGAAAAGCAGTGATATTTCCCACTCGCAAACAATACTATTTAGAAATTGTTTTTTCAAATGGCATTAACAATTTGGTCTGGTAAACAGAAACATTGGAGAATAAACAGGCAGGAATTAATTACAACCACAAAACCTTGAATTTGAAACTTTTTAATAATTAAAAATTCTTTTATCGTTTTTCTTGACATGTGTACATGGAAACTTCTTTACATATTTCATTATGATTTATTTTTAGTTAGATTAGAAAATTTCGCAGAATTTCCCAACGTTTTCTAAGTCATTTATAATTTATTTTGTTGAATATTTGAATGTAAAAAACTTAAGATTTAGAAAATTGATAATACCTATCTGAAAAAATCAATGAAAAATCTTGTTAAAATTATTCCATGAAATGTACACAAAAGAAAATATAAAACGTAAAACGACGAATCTTTAGTGGTCTAAAATAACTTCGAATTGAATCTAAACCATTACAATAAATGGCACGACAACGTGAAAATTTCGACTTTGCTTTGTCACGTTTTATGAGTGAATCGTTGAAAAATTTTCCTGTCATAAGAATGATAACCTCAACTGCCGTTTTCTATCTGCTATTCCGGCCTTTTTTCTCTTGTCGTTTCATTGTATTCTCTTGACTCACCCTAAATATTTGCTAATACAACATGAACACATTAAACGATTTGTAGAAAGGAAATGTCGAAAGCCAAGTCATGAGTGAACGTTCTTAAATAATAATATAAACGACAGAAAAAAGCGACATCAGAGCTTTCTCCACTTCATGGAATGTGTAATTTCCGTTCTTCCGATTATAATCTGATATAATATGATCAAAAATATTTCATTTTCCACGAATCTTAATGAATCAAAGCTCGAAAATTTTAAAATCTAATTAAAATATTTTTGTGGAATATTTTTCATTGGAATTTTCTTTAAGAATATCAACGCAGGTGTGTTTACGTTGCTTTTGTCATCGTACAAATTACTTAAAACCTTCAAGAAATATTTCAGGTCTCGGTTTGATCTATTTAAAACGCAATGAAATAAGTTGACTCGTAAAATTCTATGAAATGAGATTATTTTTTGCTGTTAAGTACAACGTTCCACTTTACACGAACATTAAACTTTTATCCGCTACCGATAAACATGCTTTGTAATTACCATAAGCACTTTCCCAGCCATCATCATTATCGTCGATGCTTCCATTGTCGCCCTTAAGCTCTTCATTACGATCGAAACCAATTAGTTGTGTACCAGACTTTTGTGCAGCGCTCGCAGCTGATTTCAAAAGAATATTTGAAACAACGTTGAATATTTGCAAAATTGGATTGAATTCATTATGTTGCGCATTTGTCTGTTGGTTGTTCGGTATGCTAGTATCGTCATCTTCACCATCATCATCATCATCGTTGTCGTGACTGAAAGAGTCAAAAAGATTATCTTATAAAGCTCTTCTTGTTTAAAACTGCACTCATTTCAAAAAATAAATTATGTAATGCACAGTGAGTTGTGCAAGCATTAAATTGATATGTTGCTTGCTTTTGTTCATTTTCTGCTTCCAACCACCTTAACTGAGGTTGATTGTGCATGCGATATTTCTTAAGTGCTTCTTTCTTTCTCGTAGAAAGATAAGAAAATGATAAAAAAGGAATTTCTCCTTTAAAAAAAAATTAATTTGAGATGAAATATTCGCCTGCATAAATCTTTGGTAAGAAAGAATAATTTTTTTTTCACCTTCCAGACATCGAATACCAAGAGCAATTTGCCAACTAAAGAAAACATTTGAAAATCTAATAGAAAGTGTAAAAGCATGAAATGCATTGAAAAATTTAATGAGAAAATTTTTCTCCTGCAAACAACTATTTTCCTGTCACTTTAATTAAATGAACAAAACAAAATTTTCAAATTAATAACTTTCAGCATAAAAAAGCTCTGAAAATCAAACAGAATTAACTTTTCTTTTTTCCAACAGGATAACATTAAATATAAATAGGAAATCTAGATACTTAGATATAAGTATGTGAACAAGAAAGATTTCCTTTGAACTTTTCCAACAAGGATATGAAGAAATGTCAAAGCTTTGAAGCTTCCATTATGATATTTAAAATTCTCATTTCCCTTTCTCAACGAAAAACATATTAAAGAAGATAGAAATGATTACTTAACAGGAAGTCACCATAATTATCAAATGTGAATATGTTAGAAATTCGACTTGTTACCGAAGTATTCAAATTTTAAACATTTAATAATCATCAATTTTCTAAGGATATCCGACTTTCCTTTTCACCTAATTTTTTAACGTCTACGACGCAATTTGTCGTCAATTAAAATGAATGTTTTCCGTGTCGAGCTTGTTTCTCATTGTATGCTTTTGAAGCATAAATTCTTGGAATACTGAATTTTCATAGTAATCCACGATAAAAAAAATCAACTTCCCTTGTTATTAACGTCTATACTGGAAAAGAAAAACTAATTTTCACTTTAAGAATATCAAGAGGAAACTTTTAATCAGTGTTCGGAAATTATTTCCATAGCAAAGTCATAAAGAATTAATTTTTTGTTCACTCTTTACCACGTTTTTTTGCAAAGGTTGAAAACATTTTGCTTTGAAAATATTATCGCAAATATCTTGTAACATGCACTCAAAACGAAAAGAGTTTTAATGCATTTTCCCCTCGATAACTGAGAGCAATACTTTTGTGTTTTTAAATTCAATTTGTTCATGGGTAGAAAAAAAAACAATATGTACGATATCGTTCATATGGTTTTTATATTGCATGTTAAATATCAATAACAATATCTTTACTTTTCATCCTCTCGTTAAAGCTTTTAAGTTTTTAGGATGTTAATAACGGATTCAAAGTTAATGAACAATACATAGAGAATATCTATCTAGCAATTAAAAACTTCGCTTATTTTACACTTCATTACAAGTCTTATTGTCTTTCTCTATGAACATAGTATTTGCTAACAGAAAACTTGAAGTTTATCACTCAATTAAGTAACAAGCACACCTAAAATCTTGCATAACCTCAAAGCGAAACTTTTTTGTTTATAAAAAATATTTTTTGAGCACCTTCAAATTATGCAAAGTGAAAAACATATTAAAATGCTAAGTGTAATTCAGACTTTCATCCCTGTAAACCTTTGAAGCATTAAACAGTTCTCATGATAATAACGCTCTCTTTGTGGAGAGCTGACTTAAGACTTTATCGTGAAAATATTCAAGTAAAAATTTTTGCTTTTCTTTCATTTGCCTCATACAAAACAATAGCTCGAAAATCCTTTTGCTTCGAGCATTTTATTGAAAAGTGAGCTGGTACATGAAAATGGTGGAAAATGAATAATAAGAGAAACTCAATTTGGTTTTTGTGTTTGAAAGAAAAGCATAAGAGTATGTTTGCGTATTCATCGCATCCACACCAACCTGGATTACCCGGCATATTTTAAAGATATAGAAATCGAAAGTTGAACATGACTTGAGCTGTTAAATATTTTCTTTTTATTGCGGGGTTGATTTTAAAATGATGTTATGCGGTTGAAATTATTGTACATCTATAAAGATAAGATCTCAATAAAAATAACACATATGTACCAATTAAAATAACTTTTCGGAACAAAATTATTCATTGCTTTGTTTGGCCTCAGATTTTATGGGATTATTTCACCAGAAATATTATCAAAAGATTCGCCAATATTTTATTCTAAATGCGCCTCCGCAATTCTTCTAGAATCCAGATCGCTTTATCCAGTCTCACGGAGCCAAACCCCAACAGATTTAATATCATTTTGTCGCAATAAAAATAACTTAAGAAAAAGAGAGGAAATCTTGATAATTGCTTCGGATAAAGAACGATGGAGAAAGAAATAAAGCATAACAAAGGAAAAGCGCTTAACTCCTTTCACTAAATTCCTGCTCTCATCAAAGCAATGGAATTTCCTCTTAGACATTGTTCCCATTTGAATGAATGGCACAAGATAAGATATTGTAGCACGATAAAGCTAAAAACAAATCAAAAAGAAAAACGTATTTTGTTAGGTGAATGTCATATGTCAGAAGTTTAAGCCGTAACTTTACGGTGGAAGGTTTTTGGCATTTTGATTTTACTTCACCTCATTTTTCTCCATTTTGAGATCCTCTAATGCACTAAATCGTTTTACATATTCATGACATTTTACCTTCTGAATACATTTCTTTTAAAATAATTTTTCATCTCAACGATAAGTGAAGTGGAATGAAAGGTTGAATTTTTAAAATTATTTTACTCGGCTGTAAGTAACAAGAACAACATAGAACTTTCTCAATTAAACTAATTAAATCCAAACATAAACATCAACAAAGTTTATGAAAAGCTTTGAATTACTTATGAGATATTTTCTTGAAAGCATTTCGTAGGCTTTTGTGACCTTTCAAAGAACCTTTCTTCCCATGATGTTCAAGTTGAATATTTAAGAATCTTTAGGAAAAACAGGGACAGTTTCAGACAATGTTTTTGTTTAAGAAAGTTCGCTTAGTTAATTTAAAGCAACCCAAAGCCTATCCGAAATTCAATTGCTTAGAAAATATTATTCATTTGTTTGTTAAACTTCTTCGCAAATATTTTTCAATGTTCTTCCACCCCCGTTAAATATGCACTTAAATTTGATGGAATCGTAAAAATATCCGTTCTCGAAATAATACATCGTAACATGATGAAATCAATTGTAAATCCCCTCTATTTCCTTTCTGTTATCTCACGTTGACTTTATGTGTGAAAATCCTTTATTTTCTCTGTGATTTATCACATATTCTTTTTCTTCTTCTTGCATGCTTGTTAAGTATTTGCGTGACAAATTTATCGTAATTTGAGTTGATCGAAAAATTTAAAGAGTTTATGAATACGGAAAATTTTGTTTACCTTTCAATTTTCTGCGTGGTTGCCACGAATAAATTATTTGATGCTGATGTCGTCATTAAAATGTCATCATTATGGTTTCGTAATGAACTGTCTTGATCTACACTTGTCACATCATTACAGAGAAGCACAACCACCAAAAAGTAAAAAATCATTGTTAAATTCCACGAACACATAATTGCAGTGACTTTTATTGTTCTTCTAATTAATTTATTGTGGGTGAATAAAAGTTAACTTCAATAAGTTGTTGGTTGTCAAGGCATGAATGAAACTTCTGAATTATTACTGCGGAGTTGGGCGATGAAAATCATAAATGATAATTTTATGCAAATGACGAGCGACAAGAAACTTCTTTTTATGATTGTCTTCAATTTTTTTTATTTTTATGTTTCGGTTGTCGTCACGATCACTGTTTGTTGAATTCTTACGAAAATTATAAACAAACAATGTTTTTCGTCTTTTCTCGGTGAAAATTGCCTTTTTATCGCTGATTTCCGACAGAAAATACTTCCAACTTTTGAGGCTTTGTTGTCCACAATTATTTTCTGTGAGTTTTGTCGACAGTTTCAATTAACTTTTCTTTGTCGCTTTTGTCGAAGGAGAGAATGAAAAAAAACTTTACGTAAAGGAGGAAGAAATCCTAAATTTATTTCTGACCGACAGTAGAAATGTCAAACCCGTAAAGTTTGAGGCGAGAATTCTTCTTTCAAATGGCACTCTCGACTGTTGTTTGCCTTTTTTCGATTCTTTGCCCTCGCATCAACTTTTGTCGGGTTATTTCTTTCACACAACAGAAGCCCTGCAGACACTTTATCGCCACACAATTTTTTCCTTTAACTGTCTAAAAATGTCTTTACAAGCCAGGAAAATTAAATATTTAATATACACAAATAAGAACTCTCTTCTAAGTGCTTCGAAGACAGAATATTTTTTTTATTTCAATTTCACTCAGACAGTCTAGCCTCTGGTTAAATATTTTTCACAACTTAATGTTCGAACATGTTTTCAAACTATCACGTTTTTTAACTAATATCTGAAAGATCTTGTTGTTTATTTTCACTTGAACTGAATCAGTAAGCAGTTGATGTTAAATTTATGAAAATAATTCGCTTTTTTTCTTATCCTGATTCTGCAATGATTTTTTTTAAAATGGAATGTGATGAAGGCAAAAAATATTAACCAACATAGAGTTCAGACTTGAATGCCAAGGTTTTGGATAAAAAACTGATAAAAAAATGATTTTGTCGAGTCATTTCCCAAAAGCAGATAGATAGCTCCTCTGTTTCCCCCACCAATGATAGCAAACGAAATGAAAAGAGAGGAAAAATGTGGGGAAATATCATCGGATTCCATTTCATATTTAACACTTGTTCGAATTAATAATTTCTCACACAATTGTGATAAAAATGAGTCCCCCTGAGTGAGGCGACGTGTGGTAAAAACGCTGAGAATTGTCGAGAAGTTTTACTAATAACAAAGTCAGAAGACTTGAGTGTGAGTGACCCCGAGAGAAAGAGAATTAGAATAGAATCATGAAAATTCAATTATCAAGTTCTGATAGACGTGTTAAAAGATATATCGGTCATAATTACGTGCTTCTGTGCAATGAATAAAGCAACAAACATCTGAATATCGAACATCAGTTTAAATTCGTTTGCTATTCAATTAACATATTTACATTTATAACGGGAGTCATTAGTTTAATCAAGCAATTTTCAAACTAGAACAAGAATTTAATTATTCTCAACTAAGATACTTTCTATCTAAATCTTCAAATCAATCCTGAATTTCGATAAATATTAAATATTGAGCAGCATAAATGAGTAATCAAATTTTTGAGGAAAATAACA